TTATACAGTAAACAAGTGATATTTTACAGTTGATTTCTATTTCTGTACCCTACCTAAAAAGTTCGACCTACATGAAAAACAAATTTCATTTGTATATGTATGTTCTATTGTATTTATTTGTGCTATTGCTCATAATTTGATTATTTGTTATTATTTTATTACTGGCTGTCTGACTAAAGCTATAGTTTTTGGTGTCATACCCTTATTTATTAAGGTTACATGGATCAAAAACAACAAAAACTATAACTAGGCCCATTTTATATTCTTTATTAATTTTCTACTTTGCTTTTTCGAATATTTCCTTTCATTTTCTGTGTAATATTGCTGTTTGTGAATGTAAAAGCTCTGTAAAGATATCAAAGTGCATGATAAATGCACTGATATTTAAATGCATTATTGTCTCCAAAAGAAAGAATCGATTCTGAACTGCCGAAATGAGTCGTCAGGAATTCCGTTCTTAATTCCATAACATTCATAGGTAACAATGTACCAAATTTGCATAATTCTCACCTATGTTCTTCATTGGCTGCCCGTGAACAACGTCTGCTTTTCCCTCTTTCAAACACTGTAACCTCAGCAATACAACAGCAGTTTAACCTTTGACGACTGCTTCTCAAATCTCAGCGAGGTCAATGTGTTTTATATTTGTGTAAAGAAGGAACTAAGGTCATTTTAAGTCAGTTTTCCTTTTAGGAAAAGTGATAGTACACAAGCTTTGATTTGAAGGTTTGCAACAGTGTTAAAGATATTAAATGTTGATTGTTAGAAGGAAAACGGTATTTTTCGAGTGTCATCACCATTTTCCTCTGATCCCAGAACAGACTCCAGGAGATCTGGATCTCGAGCACCAGATGAGCCATGTTAATGAGTTGTATTGGTTTGCATGTGAACCGTTCCGCCTGTTCTCCTGAGGCGGCCTCCCTTCACAGTAGCTCTGCCTCTGTGGAAACATGGAGGGAAAGCAGCCGGAGAGGGGCGGAACAAATAAACACGGCCTCTAATGAGGCAATCCAAACCAGTGTCGTGCCCGTACCCACACACGGGCCAAATCCACACAGGTCCTCATCTGGGACAAATGTGAAGTTTACACTGCCGTGTTAAGGAGAAAGTCAGTGATCCGATTCACACAGCTTGGTAGAGACTCTTTAATGTGCCCAGAGAAGTGTTCCCTGTAAGGAAGTCTCCAGCCTTCCCGTGCTGATTTTTTTTGGAAGAGTCCCCAGTTATGACTATAAATTGTAGTAGACCACGAAAGTACTCTTTGTTTTCATTCCTTAGCTCTCAAATGGAGTCGCAGCAGGAGTGTTTTGAAGGGGACATTTCATGAAAAGCTTGTTTTTTTTCATGTGAAATCCTCTATAGTTCACAACCCCGGTCTGCACTGAACATTTATTGAAACTAAACTGCAAAAATGAGGCATTCAGATAATGTCATGGCTATGATGTCACAACCATGAGCACATTATAGCAGTAGTTCACCAAAAAACAAAAACAAATCCCAAAACCATATGACTCACTTTCTTCTGAATTCTTCATGCTGTTTTTTTACAAACAAGAAAAGCATGATCAGGACTTTATTCACTTTTAAACAGTCTTTGTGTGAGGAATTATTTGATATTTAGTAGGGGTGGGGGAAAAAACGATTCTTCGATGCATCGCGATGCGGACGTGGACGATCCTGAATCGATTCACAAATGTCAAAAAATCGATAACTTTTATACTTTTAAAGCAAAGTATTTATAGTCACACACACAAAAGATTCAGATAATCGATTTGTAACATTATAAAGGTCTTCACTGCAATTTTTGATCAACTTAATTTATCCTTGATGAATAGAGGTATATATTTTTTTTTATTTCGCCCAAAAAATTAAATAAAAATTCTTAACGACTCCAAACTTTTGAAAGGTATTGTTTAATGTTACAAAAGCTTTCTATTCCAGATAAATGCTGTTCTTTTGAATTTCACAATTGCTTTTGATAATGGGTTGCCTAAGTAGTAGACAACAAGCATGTTTGCATGTCCTCACTAACCATCATTACATTTTCATTGAATATCAAACTAATAAAAAGTGCAATTAATACTAAAATGTTGCTGCTAATATAGTCATATGTTGGTCTAGTGTATTTTCGTTGACTGTTGTAAAATGGAAAATCAATAATCGAGAATCGTTAATAATCGAAAATCGACTGTAATCGAATCGGGACTTCAATAATCGTAATCGAATCGGGAAATCAGTCAGATTAACCACCCCTAATATTTAGCTCTTATGTACTCTACATTTTAAAAGTTTGGGGTCAATAAGATTAGAACAATTTTTAGTCTCTAATGCTCATCGAGGTTCTATTTATTTGATAAAAAATGCTATAAGAAATAGGGCTGGGTATCGATTCACATTTCAATTTCGATTCGATTTCGATTCACAAGCTCTCAGTTCGATTCGATTTCGATTCTCGATTCCTGATTTGATTCTCGATTCGACTATAATGAAGATGTAATACAAATCCTATATTTATAAAAAAGAACAGTGGACATAAGTTTACTAGTGGTTAATTAATACAAGGAAATTAAGAGCCATAAACCTGTATATAAAACTCTTTTTATTTTAGGTACACTAAATGCATACAAAGAATAAACAGGATTTTGATGCAATATGCAAAAAAAGTCAGAACAGTCGCACAGCTTGATCAAACAGTATCATGCTATTTTATGTTTAAGATAAATATAGATAAATAAATATATAAATATTTAGACATTTTTTTTAAATTGATCTTACCTAAATGGTAATGTAATTTTTTTGTTTATTTTAGTTTTTTGTTTTTGTTTTAAGAATTTATGTATGGAAGCTTGATTTCAATCTTTGAATTAAATTGAAAAAAGTAGCACAAATAAATACAATAGAATAAAGACACAAATTAAGAGACATTTTGGGGTAGTTTTTTGGGTATGTCAGAAATACTACAGAAACTGAATAAAGTAATCCAATGTAAAATAACACTGGATAGTCTTTTTAGTCCAGACTGAATTAAATACAAAGGCTATTAATTCTGATTGCTATAATTAATACTATATTCTGTTGTTATGACAACAGAATTAATGACCGACACAAATGGCTGCGTTCACTTTAAGAACTAGTTTCATTAACTTTGTCACACGCGTTTAATGCTAATTTAAGACATTACCGACTGTCTTTACGAGGTTACTCACCAAGACCAGAGTTTTGACATAATGTCGCGTGTTTTAACTGTTAAAGTGATATAATCCAGGGATAAAACTTTTGTTTCTGGCGAGCTGTTTGTGAGGCAGATTTAGGCTGTACTGTGCACGCAGTGAAAGACATCTCTGAGAGTGCGCGAGCACGGGATGGTTTAACATTGCTTGTAAAACTTAGAAAGACGTGAAAATGATAAACGTTAGTTACGATGCAATGCTGGCCCGATTGTTAAGTGAATATTCCGTCATGTGCTGACTGCTAAACGCGTGTGTGCATCAACAGCTGCAACGCTTGGCGCTTGCCTAGTGCAGAGAGACGAGAAGATGCAGCACCGCGTCTGCGAGCCCTTTATATGGAAAAAATCGATTCGTGGCCGTTGAGAATCGATTTTGAATCGAAAACATTTTAAAAAACGATTAATCGAAAAATCGATTTTTTTGCCCAGGCCTAATAAGAAAGTAACATTGTAGTGTAAAAGTGTTCATATCTTTACTGACCCCAAACTTCAAATGGTAATGTAATCCATTTGCATATCATAATAGCCTAAAGATGTTCAAGGTTAGATGATGGAAAATGTCAATTATGTTGCAATTTTGTTAAGGGCGTGGCATTTACTAATATTATAACCTTGTCTTAAGCAGGCTGGAGTTTTTGTCGTAACCAGTAGACAGACCGCCACAAGCGACAGGAGGTTTTGTTGTTTGCTTGGTTTGTATTTCAGTAGCAGTTTATATTCAGTGTGCACAGACTCATTTCTTAAATTTCAGGAATATAAAAATGCTGCACAAATTGTAGAATATGATATACCTCGGTATCAAGTTTCCATCAGCTCTTAGCACAACCGTGCTTTCATTATAAATCTCAATAGGCCTTTTTACTATGGTTATTTTTAAAAAAAATGACTGCCCATTGAACATTGTTACCGGATTCAGGGCCGTTTGGGTGAGATATTAAAGGAAACTCGCCTCACGAGTGTTGTAGTAATTCATGTCTATACAAGGCACATGCTAACATTCACTCCGTCTTTATTACTGCTCCACGTCAACCTCCTGGATCAAATTTACGAGGGGCGAACAAGAGCGAGAGCGCGTGTGTGAAGGAGAATAAGAACAGTGTGTGTTGTTTCGCTCTCGCCTCGAGCGTGTTCTCTCACACACAGGTTCATATAAGCTGTAATGGAGACGTGAACTTGCGACACTTTGATGCCTGTTTGTTTATGCTTCCAGTGCCGGTTGCCCCATGGGCGGGTCACAGACGGGGCAGAGAACACCTCTCATACCCTATTAAGACTAATCCTGCCCTGCAAATGACAGGTTCAAATCTCTGACCTCTGTTTGTTTTGACTTCCTCTCGTAAGAGCTTGTGTAATGTGCAGTGGATGGAGGCTTTCTGTGTCGCAGAGCCGTTTCCTCTGTGGCTCTCTCAGGAATAGAGGTGATTTACGGGGCGGACACAGGTCCCCACTGTGAAGCCCACTGTGAATTACTGCTCCGTCTCATTAAGAAGCTCTCTAAAATCCTCACTGGCTCTAAGCCGTAACATGCCTCGAAAATATTTTTGCTTCGTGTAAACCAAATACAATAATAACAGCAATGTTTACATTTACGTTAATGTATTTTTGCAGGCACTCGTATCTGAAACCACTTGCTGTGCATTCAAAGAGTAAATGTGGTTAGTGTGTGTGTGTGTGTGTGTGTGGGGGGGGGGGGGATTTGAATCCATAACCGTGGCAGCTTTGAACATGGCTAAAGCTACTTCTTTCACATCAACATATAACATCTCAAATCTTTTACTGATTTTGTATTAATGTGTCATTCTGTTTTCTCTCTGACAGAGACATCAAGCCAGATAACATTCTCATGGATGTGAATGGACACATTCGGCTTGCAGATTTCGGCTCCTGTCTTAAACTCAGGGAGGATGGAACGGTATGTATGTTAGTTGTTTGAATATCAAGGAATATACAGATATAAGAGCACACTAGAATATTAAAGGAGTAGTTCACTTAAAAAAAAACTTTACTGATAATTTATTCACCCCCATGTCATTCAAGATATCTCTGTCTTTCTTTCTTCAGTCGAAAAGAAATTAAGGATTTTGATGAAAACATTCCAGGATTTTTCTCCATATAATGGACTTCAATGGGAACCAAACGGTTCAAGGTCCAAATGAGAGTTTCAGTGCAAACTGTTCAAAGGGCTTTAAACGATTTTAGACGATGAATAAGGGTCTTATCAAGTGAAACGATCGCTCATTTAAAAAAAAAAAGAAATGTTTAAGTTTTAAAAGCTCAAATTGTCGCCTTGCTCTGTTCTGTGATGCGCGTTCGTGACTCTCCTGTTTGGACTCGTTTATTGAAATGAACAAATCTTTTTTTGTGTCATTTGGTTAATTCAACGAACGAAATGAACAAGTTGACTCTGGAAAAGATTCGTTCATTTTGATGAACGAGTTTGAACAGGAGAGTCACGAACGCACATCATAGAACAGAGCAAGGCGACAATTTGAGCTTTTAAATGAGTGATCGTTTCGCTTGATAAGACCCTTATTCATCGTCTGAAATCGTTTAAAGACCTTTGAACAGTTTGCTGTATGCACTGAAACTGTCTGAACCGTTAGGTTCCCAATGAAGTCCATTATATGGAGAAAATCCTGGAATGTTTTCATCAAAAACCTTAATTTCTTTTCCACTGAAGAAAGAAAGACATGGATATCTTGGATGACATGGGGGTGAGTAAATTATCAGCAAATTTTTTTTAAAAGTGAACTACTCCTTTAATCCTCATATTTCAAAGGAGGAGGAAGTCATCAGGATTGCTGTTTAGAGCTGATAATGCGTTTTATTGTTTTTATGGTTTTAATAAGTCAGACAGATCCTACAATTTGGCTCGAAAGCTTTACAGGAATGTGTAAATGCAAAAAAACAAGACATGTTTGTTTTTATGCAAAGCTTTATTTAAGCTCTCATCAGTGTTTCTCTAGCTCAATAGGTGCTACCGCATATATACAGCATATACCTCATGGGCTTAAAAAAGTCCCATGAGGCATTGCGGATTACATAATCCATTACTGAAGAAATTATTTTTAATATCACTATGGAGAAAGTGAATGAGAAAATACTTTTGGAACCAAGTCTGTCTTATGCAGTGACATCCAGAATATATTTTTAGTGTGATATAAGTGTTCAACTATTTTTGGGATCAGTTTTGGATTGGTTTCCCCATAATTTAGTTCACTCGCTGTCCTAAGAATGTTTTGCCTCGATTTTATTCAGCAAGCATGCATTAAATTCGTCAACATATGTAATGTAAAAAAAAAATATTTCAAAGAAATGCTGTTCTTTCTATTATATTTCTATTGTAAAGTATCATGTTGTAAAAACTGTTTTGAACATTGATAATAATAAGAAATGTTTCTTGAGCATCAAATCAGCATATTAGAATTATTTCTGAAGGATCCAGTGTTGGAGTACTTCAGCTTTGCCATTACAGGCAAATTAAATTTTTTTAAATATTAAAATAGAAAACAGTTTTGAAGTTATGATTAAATAGTAATAATATTTTCGACATTATTTATGTTTTACTGTTGTTTAATTAGCGCAACCTTGGTGAGCATGAGAGAGAGGTTTTATATATACTGTATATATATATATATGAAGAGTTCAGATGCAAAAGCCTCTAAATGCCATTTGAAATTTTCTTCTTTAATGAGGATTTTTTTATCAAACTTGTATATTTAAGTTCAGTAATTTCACTTAAATAACAATTAATAGGTAATTATCATTGCCATTTAAGTGAAATCATTGAACTTAAATATACAAGCTTGATAAAAATTATCATTCTAGAAGAAAATTTCAAATGGCACTTAGAGGCTTTTGCATCTGAACTCTGAATATATATATATATATATATATATCTGTATATCTCTCATGCTTTTTTATAAATCTTACCAACCCAAAAGAATGGTAGTGCAAGTGCATCAGCATTTAAGGCTCCTAAAAATAAAGCCAGTAATGTAGTTACAGTGCATGACTACAATATAAGGCCTGGAATACACTACACGACTAGGCATTGTACACTTGCCGACTTTGTAAATGGTTACAATGAAAAACTGGGGATTACACTTGCCGACTGAGGGTCATGCACTGCTAGATTTTTAAATCGTTCTGAAACCAACAAACTTGAACAGAAACATGCTGAGTCACCTAAGAAAAACATGCCAAGCGCATTTGAATGCCAAAACATGCCAAGCGCAGTCTTGGGTGGGCAGACGCGGTCAGGATGGATACCGATTGCAACAGGAGTGAGTGACGCAGTCATTTGTTTCACCTGTGCAAATAAGTCAAATATTGAGGCTAATTTGTTATGCTAATTTGTTCTGTTAATTTACTTTTGTGATGTTCTTCCATATGTATTGAGGGAATGCATTGACGTCACTTTCCCGCCGGAACAACCCCCCTCAGCCTAACTTAGTGGCAAAAGATCTGCTGCGTGACTGGATTTAAAAAGGAAAACTGCCTAAAACTAACAATTTTATCAATTTAAACTAAATGTTGGACTCAGTATAGTGTTCTTTACAACTTACTATAGATCCAGTGATCCATGGATATTGACATGCAGCCAGGAATCGTGTTGCCTGAAATTTATGTTTGCCTGATTTCGACACCAGGGAAATAAAAGCAATATAGACCTAAACATAAAGCAAATTTGCCTGTGAATGCTTTATATAAATACAATATAGGTTGGTCTAAATCTGGGTGATCACTTATATCAGTCAGTGTTATATATAGCCTCTATATCATCATATCGTCCAGCCCTAAAACTTTATAGTTTTTTTTTTTTGGTCAGTGTTTATTAAAAAAACATCCAATAATGCAGAATATGAGTTTTTAATAACAATGCAAAATATATGGGTATGGTTTTACACCTAAATTCAGCATATTGACACAAAATGATAACTGCAAATCCACCTTTCGCTGACTGGAGTCCAGTTGTTTCTGTGAATTGCAGCGATCCATTTGCTCTTTCTATAGCAGTCTGTAAAAATATACCTCAAATCTAGTTGTACAGTCAATCGCAAAGCTCTTTCCCACTTTATATGTGTTGTGTTTGTTTTTGCTGGCATTCACACTGAAAACAAATACAGCCGCTCAGTCTTTTTGCCACTCACTGTGAGTAACTGCAGGCAGTCCGGCCGACGGTGACGTCACACGCATACCCTCTATTGTATTGCAAAACTGGTACATACATAGGGGACCGCTTCTGTTTCAGTAGCTATGCGTAATACATTACGATATGTGTACTAAAATCAGCTCAAAATATCAAACACAATTTGATCATCTCCGCCAGGACGAAATCACAGTCGGAAGCTAAAAATCAGAGTCTGCGTCCATCATACACTGCGATTTTCTCCGACTGGCGGAAATCTGTATACTTGCACACAGGGCCTGAAATTAACACCCGACCACCTGCCAAATGCGGGTGAATTTTGCTATTGGCGGGTAACACTGTCAATCTACCTGCCACATTGGCGGGTAGCCAATGAGAATTGAGTGATTCATTAGGATTTTTACATTTCAACGAAGTCCGCTATTGCGGTGGACTTTAGCTAAAATGTGGCGGCACATTACTGGGGTAAAGAGGCCAGCTGAAACAAAACAAACAGCCAACAAAAAGATGAGGATGAGAAAAAGAAAAGTAAAGAAGACATTTTAATACAAAGTGAACAATCAGCGGCAATGGCAAGGTTCGTGAGCGGCTGATTTATGACAGCGACTGTTGTTTCGTAACGTTCATGCGATCAGAAAGAAGATGAGGCTCTTTTTCTGACTACGTGTGCGAGTATTAAACTGTTGATGAGATGGGATGAGATAATGTAATGCGTCGCTGTTGTAGGTTACAGTACAATGACAGTTGTGTGTGCGTGTGCAACTGTGCATGTTGGGAGTTGGGAACCGGTGAGAAAATGTCCGGTACCCGGTAATTTTATCAGTAATAACATTATTAATTTAGTTCATATTTAACCGTTCCTGAACGCTGTAACTAAAAGCTGTTAAGAGTAAGACCTGTACGTGACTAAATCCGCCATCAACACAGCCGCGTGTGATTTGTTTACGAGCTGCGGTAGGTCTATCTGTTGAGTATATACTATATATGTTGTGTGTGTGTCTGTCAAAATCAATGAATAAAAAGATTTTTTTTTAAATGTATGTTATTAGAGTTATTATTACTTGACAGCACTAAAATGTGTGTTCTTACAAGTTAAAGAACAATATTGTGAAATTCCCGGGTTTTTTTTTTTTTTTACGTTTATGAGGCAAAAAAAAAAAAAGGCTGGTAAAAAGTCTCTGTGGCGGGTGAATTTTTAAATCCACCTGCCACAGTGGCCGGTGGCCGAAAAAATTTACTTCAGGCCCTGCTTGCTCAGACTTTCGGCAACTATTGTTGACTCATCTAAAAAAACCTGAGCAGAAGTGGTAGTGTATTCCAGCCTTAAAGAAAATGCTACAAAAAGAGTTTTAGGTCACCTGACACATGCTCTTTCATCTAGTGTTCTAACGGCAAGGCCTTCGACAATAAATTTAGAGTTGTGCTTCAAAAAATAAATATATAAATATATACATATATATGTGTGTGTTGAAGAAATTGGGCTCCAGCTGAATCACGTAGACACACTGTTTTAATATAAAATAATGGGAGACCCAGAGGACACCCTCGGTTTGAAAGGCAGTTGTATTTCAGAGTTGTCTTTGAAGAAGCGGTGAGTATTTCACTTGATCTGATATGTGCTGCTGTTTTCTGGCACGTCGCAGATAGCTCGGCAGGATATCCCCCCGACTTCTGACAAGAGCAGTGTGAGTGTGGTCTCTGCGTGTTCGCACGTGTGTGCCTAACTCTCTTCACATGTCCGTGTGTCTTCAAGTGTGTGTCACTGCCAGCGAGAGCAGCTAATTTACTGCCTCACTTCCACAAACTCTTCCAGCTGCACACATCTGCCACAGGCTGCATTACAGACAGTTTCCGGCAGCTCAGCCCACTTAAACCCAGGCCAGGAAGCTCCAATCATCCCCCTTGTTCATTAGTGATATCTCTAGCTTTTCTCTCTCTCTCTCAATGTGGTCTGTGCTGTGAGAGGGCTTTGTGTTTCCCCTAGGCCACGCCCACCTCTGCTGGCTGCAACCAATGAAATGGCTTGAGTTATTAATTTGCATTTTCTAGGGATGAGTGTTGTGCCAATAAAGACACATTTTCAGGGATCAGCCTCGTTCACTGACAGGATGTGATGTGATATGCTCAGACAGACACTGAACCCTTCTCTGTTTCTGTTCTCAACATGCCAGGTCCTGAATTTTCCGGCAGTCGTAATAACAAACACCACAGTAAATAGATGAATCTCATGATACCTGTCAAAAACACAAGAAAATGAAAAACAAAAGCCGTGTTCTTGACTGGTTTTGTGAGATTCATGCAAATAACTGCATTCATGGAAAATCATTGTTTAAAAAAATCTTTACCAAGCACCTACAGGTAGAGACCTGACATTGTGTCCTGAATTGACTTGTCCTGTCTTTATATGTCTGATCCAAAATATGTTTAAAGTTTAAAAACCACTAGACATACTATTAAAAGGTAGATAGACCCTTGACTAAATAGCAGAAAATGACTATGGGTACAATTTAGTACAAACCTTTTACAGACAAGTATGGCTGTCAACCAGTTCCCTGTGAACTCAACTTGTTTCCAAAGCAGAATCCATATATGCTGCAAGTGTGAATTAAACCAATCCAATTAAGCTTTCTAAATTGAGAATATGTGTTCCAGTTTTGGGTGCAATATGCTGCCTTTTCTCCTGTTGAACTTTCCGGCATGTTCTTAAACTCATTTTCTATCCTCACAGGTGCAGTCGTCTGTGGCTGTGGGCACTCCTGACTACATCTCTCCTGAGATCCTGCAGGCTATGGAGGACGGGAAAGGGAAATATGGTCCCGAGTGTGACTGGTGGTCACTGGGCGTCTGCATGTACGAGATGTTGTACGGGGAAACTCCTTTCTATGCAGAGTCCCTGGTGGAAACGTATGGGAAGATTATGAACCACAAGGTATAGACTCATAGCAATGTTATTTGAAAACAATAATCCATAAAAGGCCATACAGTGCAATGATTTTACAATGCTTTTTAGGTATAAAACAAAGCTTTTAAGACCACACTCAAAAGATTTTTTACATTTTCAGCTTTCTTTAGTGTGTAATGTTGCTGTTTGAGCATGAAAAACGTCTGCAAAAAGTTACAAAGCACAAAGTCACTCCAAAGGGAGTTAATCTCAATATCAGGAAGGATTGTTTCTGAACTCCCTGAAACGCCTCAATTATAGTCTTGAGTTTTCTTCCAGGAACAAACGCATCACTATATTCCTCATTTAAATAATTCCCGCCCAACAAAAAAGGGACGGGGCTTGGTGGAGTTGCATTAGTAGTGTCGAAACTTGCAGTTGTGATAAAGGGTGTGATGTTTCTGAAACACGCTGGAAGCGGTTGACCAATCATCAAATATTCAAGCATGAAAACGTATTCTTGTAGACCCCCAAAAACAAAATCAAGACTGTAAAAGTGCACAATATGTCCTACTGTAATGTAGAACACTTCTATAAAAGCAACAGCAATTGTGTCTCCAATATTGTGTCTTTATTAAGTGGTTTTCTGTAGGGCTGTCAACTTTAGTCGTTTAGTCGACTAATCGGTCGATGCTGTCGTGGTCGACTGACATTCTTATTGGTAGACCAGTTGCATATTTTTTTTTTTTTTACCAATAGAAGGAATTTTTCAATGATTTACTCCTTGATATTTTTAGTCATTTATAAGCAGTTATTTATTACTGTATTCTAAATATAATTAGCCTATGTTTTGTCCCCAACTTTAAAATGCTTTAATTTAGGCTATTTTTGTAACTGCGCCACAGTTTAGCGCACACACATAATACACTCGGGAACCGCACCTGTGTCTGGCTGCGCTGCTGCTCGCGCTCGGTAAGGGATGCTGTATTCATTCAGTTAGAACGCTGCTTGTTTTGGCTTTAGTCGACAAAATGTCCAGGAAATATAAATCTTTTGTCTGGCTGCATTTTAAAACAAAGACGACAAGACTGTGGAGGGAGGCGATCGCGTTGCCATTATGAGCGAGCAAGTCGCGCGCCTACATTTAAAATCGAACTTGAGCGCGCAAAAGACGTGAGCAGCCTTTTAACGGCTATATCATGCTGACTCAATAGATTGTGTTTTCTTAATGTTTTCGTTTTTATTTGTACACTTGACGCATTTGAAAATAGCCTAAATAATGCAACAAAACGAAAATAAACCTATACGCGGTCCTACAGCCTATTATAGGATTGTTTTTAAGTTATTTGGGGTTTTTTTTAGTGTTGTTTAAAACGCCTTGATCGTCAGGACTAAAGTTAACCCATAGCTTTGAAAGTAAAGAAGAATATAAAGCCTGTATAAACGAGAGCTTTTGTTGGGATTTTTCATTATGTGGCAGATAGCAGTTATATTTTTTGCAGCGTGTGGTGTGGTCAGGTGCGCGATTGGGACTGTACTATAGACCTAGGACAGAGCTTTTCACTTTTTGCAGTTAAAAAATCACTTAATTTTCAAAGAATTGTATTATTATTATAGTTTTATTTATTTGTGATGTTTTTTCGTTGTTGTTTTATAAATGCTCAATGACAATTGTTTAAAAAAATGTTTAATCAAAACATCACGTTTTTTTTTTTTTTTTTTTTTTTTTTTAGTCGACTAATCGTTGAGCAGGACTCGACTTTGGTCGACTAAGGATTTCTTTGGTTGAATACAGCCCTAGTTTTCTGTTCGTACCCTTTTCCCCGCAGGAGCGGTTCCAGTTCCCTGCCAATGTGACGGAAGTCTCGGAAAATGCCAAAGACCTGATCCGCAGACTCATCTGCTGCAGAGAGCACAGGCTGGGTCAGAACGGCATTGTGGACTTCAAACAGCACCCCTTCTTTTCCGGCATTGATTGGCAGAACATCCGCAACTGTGACGCCCCCTACATCCCTGAAGTCAGCAGCCCATCTGACACATCAAACTTTGACGTGGATGACGACTGCCTCAAGAATACAGCAGTATATTGCACTTTTGTTTTAGACCTACCTTAATGAGATCACACATTGTTGGGTTTGAACCCACCCACCCAGATCTTTTTTTAGAGATGCTACAGCTTACGATCTCTGCTCTGTTTAGGAGACAATGCCACCTCCTTCCCACACTGCCTTCTCAGGACACCATCTCCCATTTGTAGGTTTCACCTACACCAGCAACTGGTAAGATATCACTGTAAAACTCATCTGAGGTGATCATGCTGGAGATGCAGGTTCAAATCCGTCCTGTTTAAAACAAAAATCAGCCCTAAATTTGATGACATCTTGACTCGTATAAGACCCTAGTGAAGGAGTTCTCAACTCTGACTGATCGCCGCTGACTTGAGCTTCCATAGCGCCCTGAAGTCTGAAGCTGGCTTTTCTCAGCTGCAAGGACCGTCAAATCCATCGGAGTCACATTTTGGGCGTCAATCAGAAAGTTGAAAGAAGCTCAACTTTATGGTAATGAGCTGTGACGCGGTTCAGCGGCAAAACGCCAGCAACCAATCGGAACATAGACGTCCTTCACGCTGGCTGATTAGGGAGGAACATACACTGTAAACTTTCGTTCCTACCAAAACATTAGTTCAGAGAAAAGGGAAGAGAAGCTAATAATCGCCGTTGCTGGGTTTCCTACTGGTTTCCTATCATTTATGCTTTTGTAATCAGAGGAGGACTGGGCTGAAACTACGCACATAGGCTACTTTCTCTCTCGCTTGCTCGTATAATTACATTCACAACTCAGCAAGCAGCCAAGCACACAGCACGCAAACTAAATATATGTACAGCCTATATAGTTTTTCTAAGTTACAAACCCAAACCCGAGGCCATTCATTAAACATTCACTCAAACCCGACCCGAAACCCCGTCGGGGTCTTTCTAGTAACCCTGAAGACCTCGATTAGCTTGTTCAGTTGTGTTTGATTAGGGTTGTATCAAACCTTTGCTGGAAAGTGGACCTTGAGGGTCAGAGTTTCAGAACCCCTGCTCTTGTGTGATCATTTGACCCCTGACCCTGTTTTCCCAAACAGTACACTGTCTGACCGCGGTTGCCTACGGGAGTCTGCGGCACCTACGCAGATGGACGTGGGCGTGCAGCGAGGCCTGGAGGACAGTCTGGCTACTGAGGCATATGAACGGAGGATCCGGCGTCTGGAGCAGGAAAAACTGGAGCTCAGTCGCAAACTACAAGGTGTCTGCACTCATGTCCTCTGCTTATTATCTGCTGAAATAATCCCAGAGTTGTTAGTCTTTCTGACTGACTGTCGTAATGTCTTCTGATCCTCAGAGTCCACAAAAGCAGTTCAGGCTCTGCAGCACTCCAGCGTGGACGGGCCCGTTTCCTCCAGCAAAGAGTTTGAGATCCGTGGACTGAAGGAGGAGATAGAGATGCTAAGGAAACAGATCGCAGGTAATCTCATATAAGCATGAATCACACATATTTTGCTTGATGTGACTAAACGTTTTATGTTTATAGAGGTTTTACTTACAATTTTGATCAACATAAGTTGCTGCTTTTTCTCATACCAAGAAATGCATGTTTGTTTTGCACGTGACATTTAGAGTTGTGTCTCAACTGAATCTCGGAAATACACAAAGGGTCTCATTCATGAAATATTCGTAATTATATACGAGTAAATATTTGCTCGTAAAGAGACCTTCCCGAACACTCTTTTCCTGATTCACAAATACTTCGTAAACGTCAGATGTGATAGTGAAATGTGTGTGTGTTAATGAATTTCAACCAGTCGTAAATGGGATGCGCGTGCACGTTCATTCTCAATTACCATAAATCCCGCCCATTATATCTGACTGACATCTATATATAGGCATATAATAACATAAAAGCGAATGAAAAAGAAAGATTTCTCGGATGCAGAAATTGAAGTTTTATTATCAGAAGTTCATTCAAAACGCCACATTTTAGTTTCAAGCGTACATAGTGGCGTATCAGGTCCTAAAAAAGGTAATTTGGCAGCATATTACAGATGCAGTTAATGGAGTTTCATCTGTTAATCGAACTGTCCCAGAAGTAAGAAGAAAATGGTTCAACATTAAGCTTGACGGCAAAAAAACTAATTAGTTCACAAACTGGAGGAGGACCGCCATCGATCACCAGATCTGCTATTACTGGCTCTCATAATAAAAGTAAAAAGAAAAACCGTATGTAATTACTATATAATTTTTTTTTTTTTTTTTCAAACCGCTGTTTAAACATGTACCCGATTGAGTCGAATTAATGCAGCCTTATTAATGCGCACCATTTACGCGTGGCCGGGAGCAGGTGTAGATTTCTTCCGTACCAACTAACATTTGGAAAATACGAACATTTTAATGAATCCGAAAATTTACGCCAGAACCACTTTACAGACGATTTACATGCAAATTCGTTCTGCTTGTGTTTCATGAATGAGACCCAATGTTTTTAATCTCTTACATTGTTGTTTGTCTCTCTCCTCCCCCTTTCAGATACAGGACAGGTGGAGCAGAAGTTAGAACAGGCCAGTTTTGCCCACAGGGATCTGGAAGACTCCTCCAAACAGATCCGATCTCTAGAGAAACAGCTCAAGAGCATGAAGCAGGAAAGAGATGACCTGCAGAAGGTACAACTTCAACTGCAGCTTCTCCTTTTACCGTCAGTTAACGTTAGTAATAACGTTAGCTATTGACAGTTCGTCCCCTTGGAATTATAAGGTTCTATCTGACATTTTTGTCAAAATTAAGTTATTCGCACATTCTTATTCTGTGACAATTTATTTACATTATGTGATGTGTTTTGTACATTTAGGGTCCCTGTTATTTTTATGTTTGAAAGAAACTTGTTCCCCATACACATTTTCATATATGTAATGCAAAAACTTTGAAGCTCAATATCTCAAAACTGCTCAGAAAGCAGATAGAACCTTATAATTCCAAGGGGACGATATCCGACCAAACTACAAACTTTCCAGTGATGTCTGTGAAAAAGGGATGTGCGATCGACAAGCTTGCAAGACTGTACTGCTGCACGCTCAGTCCACTGCGCATTTCGTTTACCAGCTCAAGCACAGCAGCTATATAGGCATAAATATTTAATTTATTTAACATGCCATTAATTCAATGCATCTCAGATATCTACGCATCTCATTCTGCTCTCTGTTTGCTCTGTTGTCGGTTTTTCTTGTTGTTGTCGGTTGTTGGCATCGGAGCACGAGTACACAAGCACAGTATCGCAGCATCATTATAATCTCTAATTGTAATGTAGAATTAATACAATTATTTGATATTAATTCATTGATTAATCTTTTGGCTATAGGGTCTGCAGGACTCCTCAGAGAAGCTGAAAGCTCAGGGGAAGGAGCTGAAAGAGGCAGACAGCCAGAGGAAAATGGCCATGCAGGAGTTTGCAGAGTTGAGCGAGAGGGTGACAGAGCTGCGGTCACAGAAACAACGACTCTCCCGACAGCTTAGGGACAAAGAGGAGGAGATGGATTCCCTCAATCAGAAGGTGGAAGCGCTTCGGCTGGATGTGCGCAAAGCTGAGCGGGCCAAGAAAGAGGTTAGTGTGCAGGAGAACGGCTGATCTGAGGAGTGTATTTTATACATGTGTAAAAACTGTGTCTGTGTGACTTTGTAGATGGAGGCCCAGACTGAAGAGTGGTCTGCTGAAGCTCAGAAAGAGAAGAAGTTGAGGGAACGCAGTGAGCAGTACAGCAGACAACTGGAAGAAGAGCTGGAGGGAATGAAGGTTTGTGCACACAAACACACCTTTCCTCTGAAAATAAAGCTGTCGCGGTGATTTTGCCACTGTTAAAGGGGGTTTTATGCACAAAACTACAAGCATGTGGAAATGCTTTTATTAACTCTTTCCCTGCCATTGATGGAAATCAAAAGACACATGAAGAAGTAGAAACAAGCGATATCATATGTAAGCAGATGCATACCGTAAAACTTCAAATAATATCCGAGTCACAAATAGACGCCTGTCTCTTTTACACGCCTGGTGTGGTTGCAGGTTTGGGTAAATAAAGGCCGGTCTCAAATAGAGGCCGGGTTTGTTTTTTAGTTTCGGGTTGTAGGCTATTTATTCTAATAAAACCCATCAAATCATCCGCTTTTTGGCGGGAGCTAAAGCAAATTTTGTTGAAGCAAAAAACACAAGCGCTGTCTTGCTCTCTCTCCCTCGCGCATTAATCCAAATCAATTGACACGATAGTAAAAGATCGGAATACCGCAGTTTCCCGTGGGGCATTTGGAGATTTTTAGAGATTAGACTATAGGCCTACACTCAATGAACAGCACCTCAACACTAAATTATAAAGGCCTGTCTCATGTAGACGCCTGTCTCAAATACAAGCCGGTGCAGTTCGACGTTATGGGAAAATAAAAGCCCGGGTTATTTTTTGAAGTTTTACGGTATGTAAAATAATGCGATCATCAACTTTAAACAGCATATAAATCAAAACTGCCTAATATTACAGAATGAAATGTGCAACCTTAGTTGATGGACTCGATCTACTCCATCTGTGTTTTGATCATCTTTCTGAATCCGATATGGATGTAGTCTTTGACAAAAATGCGTTTTTCTGAGCTTTCTTGCTCAAAAATGTTCCTTGTTTTATGAAACCTATTCAGTTTTTCTCAGCTTTTTGCTCAAAATGTTTATTTTTTATTGAAACTTAAATCCTAAATAAATCATTAAATTGGTTATTAGTAAAATATCAAGTCAGTTGGAAAGTGGGCAAAATATGAATGAATTAATTAATTAATTAAAAAAGAGTATAGTGTTTTAATTACTTGTTATAATTAATTATTGAATTATTTTTTTCATCAATTTTAATACATTTTTGTATTTTATTTATTTAATTAATTAATTAATTGTTTAATTATTGTATCTTAATTATTATTATAATTTATGAATGATTTCATAAATTGAAGGTTTTTATGCATATATATCACAAAACATATTTAATTTGTCACTTTCATTAATTTAATCTAGCATACATGTTTCTGATAATCTCCTTTTTTTCCCTGTGTCGTAAAGCAGCAGAAGCAGGTGGGCCGTTCTCCAAGCGGTGGGGCCTCTGAGCAGAACCAGGAGCTCAGTAAATTACGAGCAGACCTGGAGAAGAAGAGTCTGTTCTATGAGGAAGAGCTGTCACGCAGGGAACTACAACATGGCAACGAACTGAAGAACCTGAAGAAGGAGCTGCGGGAAGCAGAGGGACAGCAGCTCACCTTGAAGAAAGAGATCATGATGCTCAAAGACAAGCTTGAGAAGACCCGCAGAGAGGGGTACCGATCTTACTACAGGAGATTGTTAAACGCCGCAATGTATTATTCTACTTGATAAGTCTAAGGGTCATTTACAAAATGGTGAATGTAAAACTAAATCACAATTATTTGTGGTGCAAGGAACCTTGACTAACATTGTAAGTGGTCTCGAGGGGAAAAAAATGAAATATAGTGAGTGTAGATCATGACCTCTTTAAAATAAGCTATGGAGTTTGGCTTGTGTTAGTATGTTGGCAGTGTGTGTTGGATGTGGAGTAACCCTGATGCTCAGCTCAATAAATCATTTCACCCATTTCACAGGCAGAGCGAACGAGAGGAGTTTGAGGCCGAGTACAAACAGAAGTACGGGAGAGAGCGAGTGCTGCTGTCAGAGGAGAACAAGAAACTTTCCAGTGAACTTGACAAGGTGAACATTCACACACTCCCAGAGCTGTCACGATAACTGAGTGTCAACATGAAATTGATGAGCCTATTTACTTAATGCACTGATGCAGGTTATTTCAAAGTTTTTATAATCGTTCTTAAAAATGAAATAACTTGCTCTTAACTCTGAAATGACTTTGCTTTCCCATTGATGTCCTTTTGGCACTGCGGGTAATTGCATAATGTTAACCAATATCCAAATATCTATTTAGGCGTTTGCTAAGGAAAGTCATATTGAGTGCTTCAAAAATTTTATGGTGTTGTTCATCAAGATAATTATCACAAATGAACACTACTTTAATGAAATGTTAAGCCTAAAACAATCGTCAGAGGTAAAAAGGATAAAGCTAGGCATATAAGCAAACTACACCATGATCACATGACTTGAACGTCACCATGAATAAATGGAGGTTGGAGCAGGCTTCACTCAAAGTTTATATCTCAAATTGTTTTAAGAGTGCTGGCCTAATAATGACAATGCATGTATGGAAGAGAGAGGCCGCACTTTGCATATACAGTTTTATTACACAAACGCGTTTCGGCGCGTGCCTTCTTCAGTGTGCAAAAGAACAATACCTTATCCAGTCTTAAATGCCCACACCAGTTAACACACCCATAATCACATCAACCAATGATTTAGAATGATGCACGTGTTGCCAATGAATCCATTAATGACAGACAAATACTCATAATTAGATAGGCTACAATATGTAATACAATTCTCATAGTATATTTTAAAGAAAACAGGTTAAAGATAGATCCTCGTTCATACCATTGGGAATGCATGTGTACGAATATCTACGAATCTAATCCTTTTAACCAGTATTTGAAAGTATGGTATAGGTATATAGATGACATATTCTTTGTATGGTCGGGCTCGGAGGATGAACTGATTGTTTTCCATGATTATGTAAATTCGAGATTGCCCTCGATTAAATTCACACTAACCTATGACTGCAGGACTCTGCCTTTTTTGGATGTATTAGTGAAAAAGTTGGACAACACGATACAGACTGAAATTTATCGAAAAGAGACTGATCGTAACTCTTTTTTACACTATCAGAGTTTCCATCCACCCTCTCTTAAACGTAGTCTACCGTATAGTCAACTGCTGAGAGTGCGCCGTATTTGTAGTAATGATGAAGATTTTGAGCGACAAGCAGGAGAGCTATGCCAAAGATTTATAGATAGGGGCTATACACACAATTTAGTGCGTGATTGTGTAGAGCGCGCGCGCAGTGTACAGCGCACTGACTTGATGACTAAACGCACTGATCAGGTAAAATCAAATAACACCCCGGTCACCTGTGTATCGACTTATGGCCATATCTCGAATAGTTTAAAGAACATCGTGCAACGTCATTGGCACATTTTAAGTAGCGATCCTCACATAGGACAAACGTTCCAAAACTTACCGCGAACTTGCTATAAACGAGCACCCAGCCTGAGAGATCGATTAGTGCGCTCGCACCTTCCTGCGCATCCACAGGCGCCTTTCCCTTTCAAAATTCCTCACGGTAATTTCAAGTGTTTGAATTGTGCTGCATGTAACTTTATGCTGACAGACAATACGTTTACACATCCAAAAACAGGCAGAGTCTATAAAGTTAAGGGCAGAATTACATGTCTCTCTACCTTTATTGTGTATTTATTGACTTGTCCTTGTGGGCTTCTTTATGTGGGCAAAACGAAGCGACAACTGAAGACCCGAATTTTTGAGCATAAGTGTGCTATTAGAAAGAATGATGAGAAATCTTCAGTTGCAAGACATTTTAATTCTGAGGGACACAATGCCAATATGCTTAGATTTATGGGTCTGGAGTGTGTTGGTCGGTCTTCAAGAGGGGGAGACCGTGAGAACCGCCTCCTCCAAAGGGAGGCTTGGTATATTTTTAATTTCAACACATGCATTCCCAATGGTATGAACGAGGATCTATCTTTAACCTGTTTTCTTTAAAATATACTATGAGAATTGTATTACATATTGTAGCCTATCTAATTATGAGTATTTGTCTGTCATTAATGGATTCATTGGCAACACGTGCATCATTCTAAATCATTGGTTGATGTGATTATGGGTGTGTTAACTGGTGTGGGCATTTAAGACTGGATAAGGTATTGTTCTTTTGCACACTGAAGAAGGCACGCGCCGAAACGCGTTTGTGTAATAAAACTGTATATGCAAAGTGCGGCCTCTCTCTTCCATACATGCTTGAACGTCACCACCAATCTTTATTTCAGTCCTACAACTTGTAAAGAGTTAGAGTTAGATTAGTTTGCAAGAGTGTAGCTGTGTCTGAAATCGCTCCCTATCCACTATATAGTGCACTATATCGGGTGTCGGCCATTTTGTAGTGGTCCGAATTCTGAGTGAACGACATCACTCCCTACATTCATTAACTACTTTTACCCACAATCCTCTCTGAATTCGAGTGTACATTCGATGTACACTTGCTGAAGCATTATTTCCCACAATCCAATGCGGAGAGAACTGAGCGCGCATGAAAGTGCGGCGCGAGCAAGTTTAAACCAGAGATTACATTACATCCAGTGGAGGATTTGAAAAAATATCCGTTAGTCGTCGTTAGTAAGCGTATTCATTCGGATATAATAACGGTCTCCGGAGGGCGCTTGTCATCTGTGAGCGTGAGAGTTACAATTTCAGTCGATGAAACTACAAAGCTGGCACATATGTGTATATATAATTAGAAAATAAATTCATTATGATTGGTATTGTTGTTAATACTATTTTATAAAGTAAGAAACGTAAGATAAAAAGGAGTTTTATCAGTACGTGTGACGAAGCCTTTTTTGCGACAGTTCCAACTCTCCGACACACAGTGTAAACGTCAGCTTCCGAATTCACTCACTTCATCTCGTTCACTCCTTGCAGATATAGTGCACTCAAATGCCATACACTATATAGGGATTAGTGAATGAGTGAACGAGTGAGCGGTTTCAGACACAGCTTGTGAGTATAAACAACGATGCTGTAAAAGCGAACTACTGTAAATGGGTTTTACTGGTCGACGTGACAACGTTTAATATTACCGACTGTCCCATTTAGCCACATTTAAGCAACCACCTTTTCAATACACTCAAAAGCTTAAAAACTCACGAGCAGGTCATTACCCCAATGTGAACATATCTTGAACTTGTGTTTACCACAGACCTCATTTCAGGCATTTAACCAAACACCTGTTCAAAGAAACCATTGACTTCAGGATGATAGAGTCAGAAGTGCAAATAGAAGTGCGATACAATCAGGTCCTGACACCTAATCATTTTCTCACAAAAACCTCACTTTATAGAAGTAAAACCGATCACAAACAGCATTTTTACATTGGCTTAAATATCTCACAATATTACACCAACTGAATCATCTCAGTGCCACTCATGTTGTTGTTGTTGTTGTTTAGAGGGTGATGAATATTGACATCTTAAAAAGGTTGTTCACCCAAAATGAGAATTCTGTCATACCACTTTAACGCTTCAAAAAGTTTATAAAGAGATTGTAAAACAAATCCAAATGAATTGAGCGGTTTAGTCCAAATTTTCTGAAGAGACTCGATCGTTTTATATAATTAACAGATTGAATTTAAGCTTTTATTCACATATAAACATTCATCTACTCACACATCAGTGATAGTAAACGGAAGCTCAAGCCATGTGAGAACCAATGAGGTTAATTCTCGTGTTACACAGGACGTTTGAGCTTCATCAAGAACCAATGAGGTTTGTTCTTGTGAGTCCAGCAGGTTTGGTTCCGTTTATGTTTGTTGATCAATGTTTATATAGGAATAAAAGCTTAAATTCAATCTATTCATAATATAAAACGATTGTGTCTCCTTAGTTGAAAATGTGTCTCTTCATTTTGACTAAATCGCTTAATTCATATGGATTAGTTTTACGTTTTTAAAGCGCCAAAGTTGTAGTCGTGTAGCTGTTAATGTAGGGACAGAAGCTCTCAGATTTCATCAAAAAGATCTTCATTTGTTTATTGAAGATGAATGAAAGTATTACAGGTTTGGAGCGACATGAGGGTGAGTAATTAATGACAGAATTTTTATTTTTGGGAGGACTAACCCTTTAAAGGGCACATATCATGCAAAGTCCACTTTTTTAGCCATTAAATGCATTTTGTTATATATTTGGAGTCTTTATAAGTACAGAAAAGATTAAATTATTCTCTTCATGTGCTTCGTTTATATCTTTATATTCTGTTTTGGTCATATTTTTCAACCTGTTCAGATTTTTCTGTTCTCTATTACGTTTTTTGAACAATTACATCACAGTATTTGCAGCGGAACTGACAAATAAGGACATCGACTACCGGCCCAACACTTCGAGCAATCCGCCATTATTATTTCTCGCTCCGATTTTGTAGTCCAAGCTCAATGATGCAGAAGTTACGAGAGGGCTAGTCAAAATGTTCGGTTGTTGGATGTAGTGACCTGAAGCACTTCAAGAATCCCCACTTCAACAACCTCCGCCATTATACAGAAGGGTTTGCCGATCGACTTCGTATGAATGAGGGGTAAATTCCTTCTATCATTTAGCTGCTGTGTTTTCTGACGCTTTCTAAACGTAAGTTATCATATTATTATCAATACAGATTTTTAGTGGTAAGATCAGACCGTAGTCATTTATCTTGTCCGTGTGCTTGTTTTAACAAGAGAAATAGTCGACTTTCGCTACTAACACAACATAGTTAACTTACATACCACTGCATCCATATGAAGACGTTGTTCTGCAGGTTCGTCGTCGTCTTTTTCAAATCGCTCGTTCTGGCTCGAATATGTAACGTTAAGGCTTGATGGACTGTCAGCCGTTGTTGACATTTTGTTAACGTGTGAATAAAAATGTTCTTTGAAGCTATAGTAATCGTATATCTCTAATCAAACTACAATAATGGCCAAACGGGGGAGTTGAACCGACCGTGAACTCAGCGACCTGGAAAGCGGGCGGGGAAAGACGCAACTCCGTTTTATTTAAAGGAGTCGCTTTAAAACGACTTGCTCACAGAAGCACATCAGAAAAAGAGTAGAAAAGGGGCCTGTTGAGCTGTAATAATGAGGAATTCAGACCCAAGCATTGCAGTTATGCTTTATATAGACCACAAATGTATGATTTAAGTAAAAATGAATGATTTAAAAGCATGATATGTACCCTTTAAGTCTTCTCGATTGACAGTCGACTGTGTTTGTCATGTTCATTGTTTTACAGTATTTTAGACATGCCTTAGATTCAAGTTTTGCTTGTTTTCAACAATTTTAGCTACTGCATAAACTGTTTCATCTAGTAAAACTACTACGATTTGAAAAATTTGTGGCATACCAGTATTTTTAGGCTTGGATACTATGACACTACTGTGGCTCCAGGATGCTGTGCAACACTAACACATTAGCCCACAATCCTGAAACCACAACCTCCAACTCTCATTTTACTGAAGTCAAAGATTCCTCTTCACTTTTGATGTGGTCTTTACGCTGAAGATGACGGGAGGCTTCGCTTCTTAGTGGTCAGAGTTGATGCTCTTTTGTTAAAACCATTCATTAATTCTTGGTACCGTTTCTGAGCGCTTCAAATGGAGTGTAAAACACACAGAGCGGTTAAAACACAGCCTTCCATGTGCGTGTGGCGGTTCGTGCTGCTCTCAGTGAGGCTGACGGCAACAAAAAAACACACACGCAAGAGATGTTTAGAGAAGAACCCTTGGAGGGCAGCACTCAGTTGTGAAAGAAAGAAAACATGCCGTTGCCATTTGCGGACTGAGTCTTTCCATGAGTGTGTTGAGTTGAAGATGTGGTCCACCATGCCAATGTTTTACTGGGAAGTCAGTCAGCATCCTCCCCCCTGTGTAAGCACAGGGAAATATGCTGATCAACAGACAGGAATCTGGAACGGTTATCCCGAGGACCACTGCGAGGGTTCAGCGCTCCAGTCAGAGCGCGGTGTGAAATGAAAATGTTGAATAATGCAAGTGTAATTACAGGGTGGTCAACCTCACCAGCTCTTGCTTAAGATAGAGAGCGCATCTAAATCAGAGTTGACTGGATAAATGTGTACTAGCAGACATGTTTACTGCGAAGTCAACTGGGGCATTGCAGACGGAGGGGGTCATGTTTATTCATGAGTGTTTTGTGGTTAGGTGTTTAGGGGTGGAAATGTAGAGGGCATTAGATGGACACGGGTGGATTTGCATGGTGGTCCATCCTGCAGGCTCTGATTCTCTGGTCCGTTTAATTACATCTGCCCCTTCAAATTGCCGTATTGGTTTGTGATTTCCTGAAATGATGATGGCATGTTTTCGGGCCTGTTGTGTTAATTGGGTTGTGCGGGAGTAAAACCCTCAAATGAGGATAATTTTCTGTTCACTGAAATGAAATATATAGCTGGGTGAGGGATGTGCTAAACTACATTTGCAGAATCAAGTCTGTGGGTTGACTGAATGACTGTTTGTTCATGAGAAAGTACTGTATAATCGTATCTGTACTTGCGTTCAAAAACATCAAGGTTTGTGCTTTTGAACGATGTCTTTTATACTGCATTAATTTGATTTAAAATTAATTTAAAACAGAAAAACAATTATATTGTGAAATATTATTGCAATGTCAAGTATATTTATATAGCGCTTTTCACAATATAGATTGCATCGAAGCAGCTTCACAGTAAACACAATAACAATGTTCGTTTCTTAGTTTGGTAGAGCTAATCAAGGGTATTACTGATTAGTTAATTACTTTGAATATCCCCAACTGAGCAAGCCAAAGGCAACTGTGGCAAGGAACCGAAAAACTCCATCAATGTGCATTCATTCTATTTTAGCAACTTCTGTTTTAATGAATTTAATATATTCCTGTTTTGCAAACGCTCAATTTTCAGCATCATTACTCTAGTCTTCAGTCACATACTTTATTTATACTTTATTGTCCCATTCCTGGGAAATTTGTCTTGGACAACATGACACACGGCCAGTGCACAACATCAATCACACACAACACAATAAATACAATGACATACAATAATAAGCAATAACACATTTCAATTAATAATAAAAAAAAAATTAAGTGACAAAATCTCTATTTAAAATTTTTTATCGCAGTTGGAACAAAGGAGTTTTCCTGGTCCTTCAGAAATCATTCTTCTTGTGACCATTGTTGAAAACAGTTAATATTTTTGTATAAACTGTGATCCATTTTTTATCAGAATTCTTTTAGGAATAGAAAGTGCAAAAGAAAAAACAGCATTTATTTGAAATAGAAAACTTTTGTAACATTATACATGTTTTAACTGTCACTTTTGATTAATGTAATGCGTCCTCGCTAAATAAAAGTAATAATTAAAAAAAAAACACTAAACTTTTGAATCTGTAGTGTGTTCAATAACATCTTTTATTGTGTGTAGACGATGTCCTCGTTTGAGAAGTTGAGCAGCAGTAACAAACAGCTGGAGGAGGAAATGAGAGAACTGGCGGATAAGAAAGAGAGTGTGGCCCACTGGGAGGCTCAGATCACAGAAATCATTCAATGGTGAGAAACGCACACATGCTTTTACCTTTCTGTGTAATCACCTTTTAATCTGGAATCAGTGCTCTTAGATTTTCATCTGATGGATCTGATCATACTTAGATTCAGCGAAAAATGAAAATGAAAATGATCAGATAAAAATAAAAGGCATTTTTTTCAGTTCCATTGTTAGTGTAGTTACTTCATGTTGTCTTTGCTGTGCATTTCAGGTCACTATGTAGTCTGTTGAGGTGCTAAACACACAAACTTATTACTAGAAGGGCTTAGAATTCACCACAAGACATGGGCGTTTTTGCCCTCAAACGATGGTACATTTTTGACCCTGTTGTAGGCCAGTAAAACCCTGAACTTTAAGGAGCAAATATATACTGCCTGACCTACATAAAAGCCACTGTCTGGAATTAGATAATGATTGTCTGTGTCTTTGATGATTGGATCATTGTTGCAGTGATTATTATGTTTCTAGCTTGTTATATGTTTGGCAACAGTTCTTCTAACCCTATTTGATGGAGAGTGTAGCCTTTCATTTCTTAAGCAACCGTGTTGGACGACACATCATGGCCATATTCCAGGAGGACAATGTCAAGATTCATCAGGCTCAAACTGTGATGAATCGGCACCTCTGAGTTCAGACCTGAAATGTATTGGAGGAGACTTTACAGAGCGCTGGACTCTTGCATTTTCAATACAAGATCTTGACCAAAAATGTAGCACCTCTTGATGGAGATACATGATGAGATGTTATTTCCATCAAGAGGTGCATACATTTTTGGTCAAGATCTTGTGCATGGTTGTTTAAGGAATGAAAAATGGATGCAAATCTAGACCTTGGACCCTGGAGTGTAGGAAGGATCTGAAAAGAGTGGGATGGGGACATCTTATTAACCTTAGCAGCTTGACTAATGAATATTAATTTTGCAACATAACATTTGCCCATTGCGTGAAAGCTTAAAATCACAACTGAAAAGCTGAAAATTCTTAAATGTAATACAAATTTCTCAAGAAGTGAAATAAAGGTTATTAAGCTGGTTATTCCTCAACATAATAGTAGTTCAATGTTAATTCACTTCTGCTGCTTTAATTGGCACCAAACCCTTGATATATATTTGCGTGGCCGTGGAGCCACCTTGTGGTCATGTTTGGTAATTGCGGTTTTGATCATCTGTTTTTCTCTTTCAGGGTCAGCGATGAGAAAGATGCTCGAGGATATCTGCAGGCTTTGGCTACTAAGATGACAGAAGAACTGGAAGGACTGAGGAACACCAGTCTGGGTGCACGTGCTACTGTAAGAGAACTAAACTTTGATCTTGACTGTTAACTTAGTTCTTAGTTTTAATAATAAAATTTATTCTAAACATTGACCTTTTCAAAATTTAAAGGATTTCAATGGCACCAAATCGTACTGCATTGAGACCCAGTAGATGATTAATTCTCTTTTCTTCTGGTTTTCCAGGACATGCCATGGAAGATTAGACGTTTTGCTAAGCTGGACATGTCTGCCCGTCTGGAGCTGCAGTCTGCACTGGATGCCGAGATTAGAGCCAAACAAACCATCCAGGATGAGCTCAACAAAGTCAAGGCGTCCAGTATGGCCACTGAGCGGTAAAACACACATCTCTCCTTTAAAGCTTGCAGTAGGACGTACCAGTCTGTACATCAGGAAATGAGTTGATAGGGATTAAAGGGATACACCACTTTTTTTGGAAATAGGCTCATTTTACAACTCCCTCAGAGTTAAACAGTTGAGTTTTACCGTTTTCGAATCCATTCAGCCGATTTTCTGATATTTAGAAGAATATCAGTAACCAGACAGTTTCTGGTCTCATTGACTTCCATAGTAGGAAAAATATACTATGGAAGTCAATGGGACCAGAAACTGTCTCGTTACTGATATTCTTCTAAATATCAGAAAATCGGTTGAATGGATTCGAAAACGGTAAAACTCAACTGTTTAACTCTGAGGGAGTTGTAAAATGAGCCTATTTCCAAAAAAAGTGGTGTATCCCCTTAAAAAAGACTTTAGATATACAAAGACGGTGCATTCCTATTACAATGAATTGGAGAAATTTCAACACGCAATATGGCGGAGTAAATCCCGCCTTCTAAGTAAAAGAGCCAATTGGTAAAGTCATTGCATCACTGCAGCTGCCATTAGAAGCTGGTGGCCGTGCCTTTCACACCTAGGCCTTCAGTGGTGTCCGACATGAATTATTGAACTACATGAACTTTTAATAGTGTACAGACTCTTTATAATTGTTGTGATATTGCTGTTTTTATTTCGCACCGGCAGTTATAGGGTTAATGTGTTGAGTTTGGAAAAGATCGGGTAGAGAGAAACGAGCGAGTGAGTTCAGCTTGTGCGTTAGTACAGTGGTTCTTGCGTTCTGATTATAAGTTTTATAAGTTTGTTTGAAAAAATAAGAAAGAAGTTTTGATCATAAATGTACAAAAAAACTAAATCATATTTACCACGGAAAAAATTGGGGCAAAAAAGGCGTTAAACACATCAAACCTACTGTTGATTACTGATCCTTCCTAATTTCTTTCCTCTAAAAGACTTCAATTACTTGGTTGTACAGGTTATCTGTGCGTTCGAGTCCCAACAACCTTTTCCATCACAATCGAGGCTAATGCTGAAAGTCAAGTCTGTTTCGTCGTATTTCTGGCGTACTGTTTTAATTCGCTTTAGTGCTGAGAATGTCCGGTCGACAGAAACAGTGGACACAGGGACAGTCACCGCAAAACATGACGATGTGTACAGCTGACCCATGCTCTCGCACAAATTTTTGGACGAAATCAATGAGATCAGTGGGACTTTTACCTTCAAAATCAAGGCATACAGTCAGTCAGTTGGTTCTGTTTTTTACCCGGGACAGATCGAATAGTGTTCCGTGACTGAAATCGAAATCTGATTATCTGATTGACAACAGTTGCATTGCCATTCATTTAAGCTACAGGCGCCTGCACTATTGATTCTGAAGGCCTCAAGGCAGATTTCTTTGGCTATGGCAACACATTATGGCAGAAATATAATTGGATAAAAACTCTAACATAAAGATACACTACTGGAAGCAGCACAACCAAGAGAAAAGCTAATGAAATTAAGAGAAGGGACTATTGGGAATAATTAAATACTCATTCATGGAAAGAATATATTAAAGTGCAAGTCAGTGATTCTGATTTAGGCCACCAGAGATGGCATTGATGGCCCACCACTGATTACTAATAATTCAGTAAAAAGTGAATTGACCAGTGGCCAGTATTCATTATTTAAAAATGGCCATATATTGGTAAATGAATCAGGTTATGGTCATTACATTGTGTCTGATTCTGTTCTGCACAGTAAGCTGGAAGAGTTGGAAAAGAAGAACGAGGACCTGCAGGCAGAGATCCAGAGGCTGAAACTGGAAACTGAGAATCTGCGATTGTCTAAAGGTAAAAGCCTGATCATTTGAAATCAATCAATGATATTTTTCATGGTGTATATGTTTTTTGTATGGGACATTAAAGTCATGTTATGTGTTCTAGGGGTCAAGCACCAAGACTCCCAGAATTCCTTCCTGGCCTTCCTCAATGCTCCAACCTCCGCCGTGGATCAGTTCGATGTAGGTGTTTGAATGAAATTGCAGCATTTTTGACTTTATAAGATGAATTCATTCTGTCTGCTTTTTCATTTGTAAATCAGAAAATAATGATTTATTGATATTTTTGTTTCCTCTTATATTCTCTGTCTTTACTGTGGATTAAATAACTGGCTGAAATACGTTCTCGGTTATTACTTCTGGGCTTTTGAGACCATCATTTTAAAATGGAGTAAACGTGCAAATCCTTTTCTCTGTGCTCATGTATTGTTTGGTCTCTCTTTATTTATTTCTCTCGTTCTATCTGTCTGTGATGAAGCGCTCCACTGCCAGTGGGCCATCAGGCAAAGGCAGACCTGTAAGCTCCTTTTGTTGTGTTTGGTGCAGTGGTTCATCTCTGTTGGTTTGATTGCGTGACTTTGATGCATGTCTGCGGTCTGCTACTGCATGGCAGAAGCGACATATCCACACTTCCCAGAGGGTCTTTCGTGTGCACATGCTTCTCTGTCACGTTCAGGGTCAATTCCCCCTCGGTTCTTCCTCATCATGAGCATTTGGACTGCAAACTGACACTTTCTGTAGCTAAAACATACTGTATGCAAACATTTTATTCCATTCATCTTGCAATAGCAATTGAGGTTTGGATGACTCAACTTTTAACTCGCTTTTGCATATAATTGCTGTTTCTAAACAACTGTGAAGGTGTTTGCGTTTCAGATTTCTGAGATTCCTGTCAAGCATATTTGACATGTTGTCTTGGTCTTGTTTGAGTCCGTCCTGTCAAAATGCTGCTAATGTGCATGATGTCTTTTCAAAGAGTCAGTTGTTATGTTTAGCAGGCATGTCTTGGGTCTAACTGCATTATGCTGCTCTCCATCTGCTGCTCATAGTTCATAGTACAGCTGGATCGGTTCTCTAAACGTTTCCTTTCTCTAACCTTCTCAATAGATTGATTCCATCGATAACTTCAGCCTGTCCAACACACCATCCCGGGAGGAAGATGGAAGATCCCAGGTCACGTCACACTCTCGCTCGCCCTCAACTACCAGCGATTTGCAGGAGTCTCAAGAGGTGACTTCACATTTTGGACAAAGCCATTTTGGATGAAACTTAACACAGAGCTTGTTGCAGTGTATTCAGGGATTGCCTTATCCAATACAGACATAAGATGTGGTCAGAAGCATGTGATTAGATGCCTTTATAGGGCTGTCTAGGTAGGGAGCTCAGCAGGTTTTTGGAACAAAGCTTTACTTATTTAAAACAAGAGACTGTGCAGTCGATGCTTTAACATTTCTGATAGGCTGTTAGCATGCTGTGACTAATAGCCGTGACTATGTTTCCAGCAGGTAGATCATCCACAACGAGGCGCTCAAACACCCGTTCGATCAGGATACAGCAGCTCTGGTCACAGCACGCCTAAAGTAACTCATTTTCCTCACATTCTACAACTACTTTCATATCAGCCAGTCAAACATATCTTTTATTTAGTAATATGTTGTAATTTTGCTCTTTTTAGCCAAAGGCCCATCAATTCGTGGTGAAGACCTTCAATACGGCCACTAAGTGCAACCAGTGTACTTCTCTAATGGTGGGAATCATTCGGCAAGGCTGTACTTGTGAAGGTAAGGGCTCAGCTGAGGTTGTCATGGAAATGGTAAATTGTAAATGACGTTAAGATTGGCATTCACCTTGTTCTCCTCCTCCTGCAGTCTGTAATTTCTCCTGTCATGTGACGTGTGCGGACAAAGCTCCTGCCGTGTGCCCGATCCCACCGGATCAAACCAAAGGACCGCTGGGTATCGACCCCCAGAAGGGCATCGGCACAGCTTATGAGGGCCACGTCAAGGTTAGAAGCTTTAGTTTAAATCCTCATCACTTTTTTGTAATCAAAACTATTACTGTTAATATTACTATCAGCAGATAAACATTACGTTTTTATCTTCCTCGAAGATGGACCAGGATTAACTTATTATTTCAACCTATAATGTTTTAAAAATAGTCTGTCACTAAATTAAAGGGTTAGTTCACCCAAAAATGAAAATTGAGTCATTAATTACTCACCCCCATGCTGTACCAACCCCGTAAGACTTTCGTTCATCTTCGGAACACAAATGAAGATATTTTTTATTAAATTTGAGAGCTGGATCACTCCTCCATAGACTTCCTTAGGGACTAGCACTTGACGGCCCATAAAGTCACTAAAGAAAATGTTTAAATATTCCATGTGCCTACAGCGGCTCAATTATAAGTTTATCAAGCGACGAGAAAACTTTTTGTGCAGTTTCCAAATTTTCTGAAGAGACTCGATCGCTTTATATTCACATATACACATTGATCAGCGAACATAAACAGAAGCTCAAACGAACCTGCTTGACGTGGGAGAACAAACCTCATTGGTTCCTGTGGAAGCTCAAACGTGCTGCGTAACACAAAGATGAACCTCATTGGTTCCTGCACATAAAGTTTATATATAAAATCCTAAATTCAATTTGTTTATCATATAAAGCGATCGAGTTTCTTCAAAAAAAGAGGACTAAACCACTCAATTCATATGGATTAGTGTTAACTTTTTGAAGTGTGAAAGTGGTAGTTGCATAGATGTCAATGGAGGGACATAAAGCTCTAAGATTTCATCAAAATGATTTTAATGTGTGTTCTGAAGATCAACGAAAGTCTTACGGATTTGGAATGACATAAGTATGAGTAATAATGACAGAATTCTGATTTTGGGTGAACTATCCGTTTAAGATGGACAGTTTTGAAGAACTAATTCTTATATTTTCTTTTAGGTGCCGAAACCATTAGGTGTGAAGAAGGGGTGGCAGAGGTCCATCGCGGTGGTCTGTGACTTCAAACTCTTCTTGTATGATCTCCCAGAGGGCAAAACTGCTCAGCCTGGTGTCACAGTGAACCAGGTTATTGACATGAGGTCAGTGAGAACTTCAAAACAAACATCTGGTCCTGTCTTTGATACTAATGACTGCGTTTGCATGACTTCTAAATCGTTCTCTTTGTTCGCAGGGACGAGGAATTTTCAGTTAGCTCAGTTTTGGCATCAGATGTCATTCATGCGAACAGGAAGGACATTCCCTGTATTTTTAGGGTGAGTTGAACATGATTGTACAATATTTTATTTACAGAAGTTCATATTGGTATTGTAAATTAATCAAATTATTATGTGCCTGTGTTTAGTGATAAAATATGAAGTTGTTGTCCTCTTCCTCTCCTGCAGGTGACAGCGTCACAGCTCTCCTCATCCAGCAATAAGAAATGCTCCATCTTGATCCTGGCCGACAGCGATCAGGAAAGAACCAAGTGGGTTGGCCTGCTGAACGAGCTGCACCGCCTTTTGAAGAAGAGCAAACTCAAAGAACGTTTCGTTTACGTCCCTAAAGAAGCGTATGACAGCACATTGCCTCTCATCAAAACCACACAAGCTGCTGCTATTATAGGTACAATCCACCACATCCCCATAATTGTAGGTTTATAATGTTAATGTCAAGGTTTTATTACATAACAATCATTAAGACTTCCATATTTGTATAATCTCTGATATGATTGGCTAACCTCTTCACATGTGAAATGAGTAGATATCTGCTCGCCTTGTGTATGGGAGTGATCATATGCTAAAGGGATTGTTCACCCAAAAATTTGATACTATATATATACATAAATTCAGAAATCATTTTGTCCCACTCTAAAAATTGCTTTTTTTTGTCATTTCTGTTGAGAGAGCTTGGAACAAAAATGGAAATCTTGGTAATAGGTTCATTCTTACACATTAAATTCTTTGAATTAGACTCATGAAGGGGGTGATGGTCCTTCTGAAATGAAGATTTTTTTAATGAAATCTGAGAGCTCCAGTGGTTTAACCTCAATTTTATGACATGACCCGAGTGCTTTGTTTGCACAAAAAAAACACCTTTTTTTAATGCGTCGTGGTGCTCTCATGAATAATGGAACCAATCCACGAGATGGAAGAAAATATTACATTTCTGTTAAACAGGAAGCACATGACAAGTCTTATATATTATGCTCTAAAGATACGTACATATGTAATGGTATTTAATAATATAATGATGTTTAAAAATACAATTATAGTATGTGTGTGTGTAAAATAATATTATTTAATAAAATATATAAAGATGTATACTGCTGAATTTTTATAACATTTATTAATTATACTTCATACTTCCAGAGAGCAAGAAAAATCCTCTTTAATAATACACCAATTTAAGAACCGGTCCGTACAAGTCCAACTCAATCCAGCGTAGCTTTATCAAACTGCTCTCTGTTTATTTTAACTACACTTCTATATATCCACAGATCATGAGAGGATAGCCTTGGGCAATGAGGAAGGGCTGTACGTTATTCATGTTACCAAAGACGGTAAGCGTAATTAAAAGCTTTATCTGCGTTTACTGTACTTACCTGTTGTGTTTACACTGTATTTTTAGACGTCTTACTGCATTCTTTGATGTTAATACAAAGCCTCGTATTGTTTATATATATTCCTATTCACAGAGATTATCAAGGTAGGAGATAAGAAGGTCCATCAAATTGAGCTAATCCCATCGGAACAGTTGATTGCCGTGATATCCGGTCGAAACGGCCACGTGCGACTCTACCCAATGACGGCCTTAGATGACCGAGATGCCGAATTCTGTAAAATAGCGGAGACCAAAGGCTGCCAAACTCTGGTTTCGGGTACAATCAGACACGGATCTCACACATGGCTTTTTGTGGCCATGAAAAAACCTGACAAGGTGATCATCTACGAGCTCATCAAGAGCAAAACATGCCACCGGAAGCTGCGGGAGATCATCGTCCCAGGATCGGTGCAGTGGATGGGTCTCCAGGGCGACAAGCTTTGCGTGGGCTTCCAGTCCGGGTTCCTGCGCTACAATCTTCAGGGGGACGGAGCGGTCAATAGCCTCCTTCACCCTGACGATCACACCCTGGCCTTCATCGAGCAACTGAGCCTGGACGCTCTCTGCCTCGTGGAGATCTCCAGTAAAGAGCTGCTCTTGTGCTTTAACAGCATCGGCGTGTATGTGGACTGCCAGGGCAGACGTTCACGACAACAGGAACTGATGTGGCCGGCTAAGCCCACCTCATGCCGTGAGTGACGATTGGTCTTTCTGCTCTGATTATTATGGCTTGCGTGTACTTTGTTTACAGTGTGATAGTACCAATCAACTAAATTGGATAAAATTACTGCACTTGAAATGTATCATATTACAACATTTTAGCTTTTCTTAAAAAAAAGGCAAAGATATTATTGCTAAAATGGTTTTATAATATAATTGATATATGTACAGTATAATATAGTGGTTTAAAAACAAGTGATTTTAGATCATTGAAGTGCAATAAGCTGTGAAATAGAACTCATTGCTCTATGCTTATGTAGCCTTTATGTAGCCTAGTATTATTTCTAATTATTTCAGGGAGATCTAATTCATTTATGTATTTGTTCTATTGTAGTTAGTTTTCCTTTATGATTGTATTTAGTTTCTTATTTCTCATATTATGCTTGTATTTAGTTTTTTATTACTGTACATTTTTTATTACTGTAATATTGTGATTTTAGTCATATCACCCATTTATATATTAAATATAATATATATTATATTATATTTTATGTAAATAGTATGACCTTATTTTACGCTAGATATTTTGTGCACTCAAGTTGAGAGTGTGCATTGTTATAGTTATGTGCTCATAGTTATATAATAGTTGTGGATGTTGTGCTTATAATTTGTACAAGATGTCCTGGGACGTTGGCATGCTGAGGATAATTTGTTTGTTTTCTGTGACTTGTGTTTCGCAGGTTATAATGCACCTTATCTGTCAGTGTATAGCGAGAATGCAGTGGATGTATTCGACGTCAACACTATGGATTGGATTCAAACGATGCCTTTGAAAAATGTACACATTTCATCGTATCTTCAATAATACCACATCATAAAAAAGAGCTTTGGAATAAAATATAGTAGAAGCAGGTGGTAAATGAAAGTTCAGTGTGTTAATGAGCTGTGTGTCTCCTGCATTGCAGGTTCATCCTCTGAACGCTGATGGCTCTCTAAACCTGCTGGGGCTGGAGACCGTACGGCTCATCTACTTTAAAAACAAGACAGCGGGTGAGATTCTCGCTCCTGCTGCTCCTCCAGGATCCTGAATATTCCTGCCCCACGTATTTATGCATATTCAGTAGGAAATAAAAGATACGAAAGTGAAAAGTTGTTTCAACGGCATAGAAACCTAATTCATTTTCACACAAACATTGTTTTCTTAAGGTTTAGGAACATTTATTAAAAAAAAAAAATGGGGTCGATTTTGATTTCATATTGTTAAAATGTAACGAATTGGCTTAATATGTAGCATCTTGTGAATAGGAAGCTTAAAGGAGTAGTTCACTTTAAAAAAAACTTTTGCTGATAATTTACTCACCCCCCATGTCATCCAAGATGTCCATGTCTTTCTTTCTTCAGTCGAAAAGAAATGAAGGTTTTTGAGGAAAACATTCAAGGATTTTTCTCCATATAATGGACTTCAATGGGAACCGAACAGTTCAAAGTCAAAAATCCTGTTTCAGTGCAAACTGCAAATTGTTCAAAGGGCTTTAAACGATTCCAGACGATGAATAAGGGTCTTATGAAGTGAAACGATCGCTCATTAAAAAAAAAAAAAGCAAAGTTTAAGTTTTATAAGCTCAGATGCTCGCCTTGCTCTGTTCTGTGATGCGCGTTCGTGACTCTCCTGTTCAAACTCGTTCATCAAAATGAACGAATCTTTTCGTGTCATTTGGTTCATTCAATGAACGAAATGAACGAGTTGACTCGAGAAAAGATTTGTTCATTTTGATGAACGAGTTCGAACAGGAGAGTCACGAACGCGCATCACAGAACAGAGCAAGGCGAGCATCTGAGCTTATAAAACTTAAACTTTGTTATTTATTTATTAAATGAGCGATCGTTTCGCTTGATAAGACCCTTATTCATTGTCTGGAATCGTTTAAAGCCCTTTGAACAGTTTGCAGTTTGCACTGAAACTGTCTTTTGGACCTTGAACCGTTTGGTTCCCATTGAAGTCCATTATATGGAGAAAATCCTGGAATGTTTTCATCAAAAACCTTCATTTCTTTTCGACTGAAGAAAGAAAGACATGGACATCTTGGATGACATGGGGGTGAGGAAATTATCAGCAAAAGTTTTTTTAAAAATGAACTACTCCTTTAAACTCGTGCGTATGATTTAACACATTTTTACATCCTAACAGACGTTTGTTGTTCTATCGTTTCATAGTGAGCGTTAAATGTGTTGTGTAATGTGTTTAATGCTTTGTGTACTGTGTGATGATGTGCAGAGGGAGATGAGCTGGTGGTGCCAGAGACATCTGATAACAGCCGTAAACAGATGGTGCGCAGTGTGACGAGCAAACGCCGCTTTTCTTTCCGCGTGCCGGAGGAGGAGAGAGCTCTGCAGAGGAGGTGATGCTCAAGCCTAGCAACACTAAACCAGCATGACTTCTAAAGGAAACTCTTATGGGCTTTTCACACTAGAAATTGTTCATTTTTAGATCATTCTAAATCCTAGGAAAAAAATAAGTTTCATGTTTCACACTGTTCATGATGATTTTGTCCCTGGTTTAAAATTCGTATTTACATATTTATGAGGTCAGTAGCAAGTCTATTAGGGATGCACCAATGTATCGGTCAATAATCGGTCATCTGCCAATTGTTTAAAAACAGCCAATGATCAGGCTGAATATATTGTGTCAGTCAGGGGGGTGGAAAACCTTGACTGTGTGTGAAGAAAATGTTTCTTCTACAATAACACATTAACAGTTAAAAAAAGATCAATGTTGAAGCAGGCTCTTTAACATTTGACCCTATGAATCACCTGTAGGTCAAGCCAGGGTTGCCATATCTACTATATTAACCCTCTACAATGCAACTAAATCTTCTTTCTATGTAGCTAAATAATGTCTATCACTAGCATTAGATAATACATTTCTAGTTTTTACACGCCTGTGTGTGTGTGTGTGTGTTAGAGGCGAAGTATAAGTTTAGCATTGATATATTTTCACTCGCTGAACACTCTGACTGAGCGCTTGAGAGTTTTGCTCTCTGTCAAGCGATTTCAATGCATACAATACAATGTTCATATCTTATTAGTGTTTCAATCGCGGAAAGACGTCAATAAAAAGCTTGTAAAGTGTCACTTAATGTTGCATTTACCAGTTATCCAGTGTTCACAGTTCATTAGTTAGCAATAAAAAACACTAGAGAGGAGCTTATTTACTGTTAATTATATATTTAGTTTAAAGTGTTTTTTGAAAACTACACTATGTGTAATTATTTAGTTTAGCATTAAGTTACAAATAGGATTTGAATATAATAGTAATTTTAACCTCTAATAGTATAGTAATGTACCAAATGAGAAGGTTCCCTGTATAGTTTACAGCTTTAGTTTGGAGTTTCTTTTCCTCTAAATAATCTGTATCTGCTAAATTTAGTATCGGTGCAAGTTTATCTGTGAAAATTCCATGTAAAATAAAAATAAATAAAATTATTCATTACAGTTTCAGCATTGTAATTCTTTGCAACTAATCCAAGTTTCTTGTTTGCAATTTGTTGAATTATTCTAGTGTTGAGAGGGTATTCATATGCTCTGAGTCTCACTGCATTGTTTGTGCTCTTCAGGGAGATGCTGAGAGACCCAGAAATGAGGAACAAGTTAATTTCAAACCCAACAAACTTCAACCATGTGGTTCATATGGGCCCGGGAGATGGGATCCAGATCCTGAAAGATCTGCCAATGGTAGGAGCTTCTGACAGCAGGGAGAACGTCACCTCTCAGATCCTACGCCTCCATCCATCTGTTTCTAAGAGCTGTTTTAATGAGCATGAGCTGTTAATTATTTCAGTTTTATAGATGAGCTTGATTAAAAGATGGCATAAAACCACATTTGACTTTTGTAATGTCACGTTACATGGCCAATTTATATAGCCATACACATTTTAGGAAGTAAATAGGTCAATTTTGCTTTCATGTTATCTTTTAAATGACTTTATCTCATTGATTTGTCACCAATCATCTTATCGAGCAGGAAACTGTTGCATGCATCTATATTTTTTCTTTCTTTTTCCTCCATTTCACCCCTCTATATCTGCTCCTCTTGGGTTCCTTCTGTAGCCCGGTTCTCCTCTCCCCTCTCCTCATCTGCACCTCATCTCCACCCCTACCAGCTTTGAGCATGTCTATCACATGACACTCACCTCTGCTGACAACTTCCTGTCCCGGGACTCCTCCCCTCTCTCCTCCCACTCCCTGTCTCTCAGCTCCGCCCCTGGGACCCCTGCTTCCATCTGCTCTCTGGTAGGACCAGAGAGAGACACACTCAATCCATCCATCTGTTTTCTGAATCTATTCCCACATGCATTAGTTCACTTTCACCCTCAGTCTGTTTTCAGACTGTCTGCTTGTGTCACAAATTGACAATCTGTTGCTCTGCATGCCAAATCATCGTCCTCCTTATTTTTATTTTTATTTTTTTTTTAGTTTTAAAGGTACAGTAAGCAAAATACTAATAAAAGTGGTTGGGATGAGCACCACAACACACCTGTAGTCAATCAGCAATTGACCTATGGCTAAGCCACGCTCTCAAACGCGATGTGCGCCGCTAACCCGATACACTCGGACATTCTCTGCTTCCGCGTCCAATGAAATGCAGTGCAGTTAGTCACTTTTCAGTCGTGTTTTCTTGTTATTTTAAGTTTAAAATGGTCAAACGGTGTGCATGGGGTACATGCAACTCCGACACAGGTTCCAGAGAGGCTGACGGTGTGTATTTTTTACCCTTTCCCAAGCCAAATCTCAGCCGAGATAAGTGTCTGCTCTGGATTAAGTTAGTCAGTAGACGACAACACCAACTAAACGTGGATAAATTAAACAAGGATGTCTACATCTGATCTAAGTTAAGTCAACAACGCATTTGAACGTTATCCTTAAAATCTGTAACATAACGTTAGGCTAACGTTAGCCTAACTAGGGCTGTCGCGGTAACCGCAATATTGTAGTACCGCGCTTCTGACAAGTCAACCGCAGAGGATTGCACGTAACCGCAGCAACCGCGATATTCACGTTTTTTTTTATAAGGCTATACCCTTCTTGTTTTGAACTTAATGCATGTGTATTGAATGTTAAACGACTTCATAATGATAACAAGACTGTTTATCATGGTGATGTGTAGCCTACAGGCTTCACACAGACAGTGAATGAGAGAGATCGGCAGAGCGCGTGCAATTACCTGAGTCTGTCTTTGAAATATTTGTTGCATCATCATTTTAACGTTCTCTTCACGGGTATTTTCCCATAAATGCGCGTCAGCAGCAACGCTGGTCAGCATCCCGAGCGCGGGGAAATAATATCGGTGAGTCATGCATAGAATCAATGGGTCTCTAATAAGTGAAGCATCAGCTTCAGCGTTGCCTATACGACGCATTGCTGCTCAGCTGAGCCTTGAAAAGTTGAACATCAATGTTAAAAATAATTAACATATTGTTTCTTTACATCTCTTTTAATGAATCAGCTTTTTTAAACGTGTTCGTTGAATGAACGGTTCAATGACTCGCTCAAAGTCCGTTGTCATAACAATATGCGCGCTGAGTGAAAGTCTTTCAATGCGCATATACTGTAGACGCTGTTTAGTTTCGGTTACAATGGTTACTGAAAATGTCCTCGTTTTTGTCCACATCGAAAACTTTATTTATATAGCAACAAAAACATAAATTAAATAAATAAATGGCGGTAATACCGCATATCGCGCTATTGAGCCACTCAATATTACCGCAAGGGAAATTCCATAACCGCGACAGCCCTAAGCCTAACATTAGAAAACTTTAATGTTAGCTTCTAGCTGCGTTGTACATCATGTCACTTAACTTCAATAACGTATCTGTAAATAACCGAGATAACAAATGTTAACAATGTTGTGCTGAATGATTCATGTAAATACTGTAGCACCAAACGGTGATGGCAACGATATGCGGTTTATCACGTTTACACTGTGACCTGTACATTTTTGCCTGGAGCTGATGCTTTTCATAGCCCTTCTCAACAATAAAATTATTAATATAATCCTCCAATGCACGGTTAAGGCCCTTCAGGTGACTTCGAGATGATGTATAATCTTTCTGTCTCCAAAAATCACCAATTGCCTCCTGTGAAATGTCTCCTACTGTGACAGATGCCATTGCGCCTGTCCCTGAATGTTGACTGTTTACTCGAGTGAGTGGAGGGGGCGTGGCTTAGCCATAGGTCAATTGGGGGCGTATCCACTCATAATGGGGGAGGAGAAAGAGGGAGCAAGAGGGAGATTTGAAGAAAGACTGTAGAAAGGGAGATGACTGAGAGACATTACAAAAGAGTAATATCAGTGAAAAAGAAGGGTTATGATCAGGCGAGAGCTTTAGGACCAGCGTTTATATTAGAAAAGCTTTCCAGCGCTGGAGAGACCTAAGCGGGAAGGCCTCAAAATGGCTGCCGATGAGTTGTTTCTGCTCTGTATGTGAGTAACACTGGTTTTGATTCATTTCACAGAACCAAGATGTGCAGTAATTAGCTATAGTAACAGGACAGTTTTGAGTGTCATTAAAGCATTACATTGCTTCACTTCAGCTATGATAAAGAGACATCTACTCTTTGCGTGTTTTTGCATTTTGGGGGCGGAGCAATAAAGGGTTGTTGGGTGGCTGCTGTTTGTTTGGGTTGATTTATAATATCAACAGTGTTTCTCTGAAATGGCTTACTACACCTTTAAGGATTAAAACCAGGTACGACCTCAATGCTAACAGACCACATTAAAAACCACAAATTTAAGTTTACATTTAATGGGTTTTGTTAAATGACAAAATATTGTGTATACTGCTGGTTTTATGAATCTTATTGAAAAACTGTGAGGAGAAAAAAGTGAGAAAATGATTTAATTTTCCCTTTGCTTCATAATTGAAGATAATTTACAGTGACATTGGTGTATTTGTAGCTTTTGTGAATTTATTTATTGTTTGATATCAGTAATAATAATGTTTTTCTCTGCCCACTGTGTGTTTGGGGTGTTCAGAATGTGCGCGCTCAGGAGAGTCGTGGTGTCCTGGGAGCATCCGTCAGTATCCCCTCCATCAGCAAGGCCAGGCCTGAACCGGGTCGATCTATGAGCGCCAGCAGTGGTCTCGGCACACGTGAGTACTAAAACATACTCATATATATATATATATATATATATATATATATATATATATATATATGGATAAGAATGACTCAAGAAAAAACTTTTGCTTTTAGTTTCAACTGTTGGTAGAAAATTAACTGGTTTTATAGGAAATATCCCTAAAACAAATTTTTTGGCATATATATATATATATATATTAGTGCTGTCAAACAATTAAAATATTTAATCACGATTAATCACATTAATGTCATAGATAACTTGCGATTAATCGTAATTGATTTTTATCTATTCTAAATGTCTCCTCTTTTTGTCCCATTTTTTTTTTCTCAGTTTAATGCTCTTATCAACATGGAAAAGTGGATCGGCTTGCTTTGTGCAAATGTTTTTTATTGAAAACAACATTGGCATATACTGTGTTCAATTGCACACTAATATTCTAATTTAAAATGGGTTTGCGTTAATAACGCGTTTAACTGAAAGCCCTAATATATATATATATAAAAAATACATAGAAAAAGATATATAGTGCACTGTACATATGGTCAGAAATATTTCGGTCTTCTTGTTCTTAAGGGCGATTGGTCTTTTGAATTTTTAAACTTCCTTGTGAACTTTTAAACTCTTATAAACTATAAAACTGTCTTTTGAATTATCAAACTCAACTTTGATTTTTCATAAATAGTTTGAAATCCGTCTTAAATAGTATTAGAAATTAGAATTAGTCCCAAATCGTAGTATGCTGAAATGACTATTCCAAAGATACCCGGAATGATCTACTTTTCCCAGCTAGAAAAGTGCAGATCTGTGCTCGCTCTAATGGCTAATATTGCCCACAACCCATTGAGTGTTGGACGAGGATTCGATTAGAACTACAAACACGAATAAAAGTGATTAATAATCAGTATCTAACCTGGCAAAAATATATTTGTTCAATGTTATCCACATTATGTTTAATTTGTAACAGCATTGTGAACATTTCTAAAGATATAATAGGTCACTAACTTTTCAATGCATCATTATGCAAACACACAAAGAGTTCTCCACATGAAAGACCAACGACTGGCAGATCAACATGCTTCTACATTTCTCTCAGAAACGGTGGAGGATTTTAACTGTGACAGGATGATTGACTGCAGTTTAAACGCTGACAGGATGCGTGTATCTAAGCAACAGAGCTGTCTGTTAAAGACACAGTTATGATGAAGCAGTGTGGACACCCGGCAAATGTCTTAAGGATCTGTTTATGGCTGTGTCCCATATCCCAGGCTCCACCGCTCAAAATGGCAACGCAATGAGACGGGACTTTTCGGTTGGAAACTACGGTTCCACCAAACGTCAGATGACATCACCCTCTGAAGGCTCGCTCTCATCCGGAGGGGGCGTGGACTGCGGGAGTGACGCCCCTCTCTCCCAGTTTGACAGAGAGGTCAGTGGCTTCTTTTCCTAATGCATTGGTTTCTTAAAGTATTTTACATATTCATTTTTAACTTTGACATTTAAAGAAAAAAACAGCAAGCAAATAATAATGTGGAAAAAAAGGGGGCTTTAAAGGTTTTATTGCTAAAAATAAGGTTCTTTATTGATAAAATATAGATTTTCTGCAACCCTAGAGATAGTCATGTGGAAATGTCTGAATGACAAGACCGATGTGATTTCAATTGTAAAGGGGTATTTACCCCTCAATGGTGTGTTGTTCTTGTGAATGTTGATTTAACATGTTGATTCGACCTCCAGACTGATCAGAACAGGTAAAAGTTTCACTCCTGCAGCTTTTTGTGCGCTGCTGATCACAGCTAAATCTCAATAGAGAGCACTAGAACTAGTGTGTTATATAATCCCTTAAAACCAATATACAGGCATTCGTTGCATTTCACACACCAAAATGTATTTGAAGGGTCTCCATCCTCTCTTTCTCACGCTATATGCATGTGTTGAGTGTGTGAAGTGGCACCATATCCACAGATTGAGGTGTTGACCTGCAAACACTCCACCTGCACACACACGGTTTGCGCCTCGGCTCCACGTTTGACTTTGTGCACGTTGATTGTATAATGATGTGTGAGTGCTGTGTGTGACTCTTTAGTGTCCGGGAGTGTCACCCACAGAGAAGACCCCTGATCTGAAAAGGGCTTTAAGGACCCTGCTTAGTAAGCTAAAGGTAACATGACCCTGAACCCTGTAGCTCCCACCTCATATGGAGGAAATGGGTTAGTTGAGCTGTCTCCGCATTGAAAGCGTGTTTGATCTGTGTAGGTGGTGGAAGTGTTCAGCGTTTGCTTGCATTAATGTGTTGCATAGCACCTTTTATACATCCACTTATATTGTGTAGAGGAGGTGTACTTGTCGTGGTTGTTCTAGCTAGTGATGAACTCTTTAATCGGCTGATGTTTGTCTATTTTTATACCATTACATCAGCCAATACATGTTTCTGCATGGCAGATCCAAAATCTACCAACAGCCGAGTAAATGGACAACAAATATTTTCAGGTCTTTTTAGTGGATTTTGAGTAAATGTTGTGCAAAGTGTCTTATTTTCAGCCAATAAAATAAGACACTTGTTCTAACTTTTATATATTTATATTGTAGTTACACTATTTGTCCTTGAGCATTGGAGATGGGTTAAAATGGTCAGCTGTTATTTTGCCCCTAAAGGTACTCTTTAACTTTTGGCCTCTAGTGGTTAAAAAACATCACTGCATGGATTTTGCAGAAGAACATTGTTTTGGTTGTGCTTCAGCTCTGTGTGACTGTTTGGATGAATATGGTTCTTCTACTGCTCATAAAACATTCAGAGATATAACCTGTTTAGATTGAAAGGATCTCAAGCGGTCTGGCCGAAGATGTCACTGTAGCTTTACCCGTTAATAGATGCGGTACTTCCTTAAAGCTACACTGTGTACATTTATTCTTAGCTAAATACACTTAGTTCTTTCAAAAATATATGTGCTCATTAATGTATATTTACTTTGTTCAAGTAATAAAGTATTCTTGTGAGTGTATAATATGCCATTGAAAATACATACGGGTAAGGGGTTCTAATATCGGTCGCTCCATCTCGAAAGTACATTAGCCAAAGAGGGACATACCCGTTAATTCAAGCTTCGCCTTTCGCGTTTACGTTTGAGTTAACACTCATGGTTGAGGTCGAACTGGAAGCCATGTTAATCTTGGACTACATTGGCCACCATAGGAGTTAAAACGAAATCGGAATTGAGAGGAACAGAAACTAATATTCACTGGATGGTCATATACCTTTTCACCGCTAGATGGGGGTAAAAATCACACAGTGTAGCTTTAAAAATAAATTCCAGCACAGCTACAACAGCCAAAATTAAATGACCTTCACAATAGATAATGCTTTATATTGAACTCTGTTAGAGAGCTACAGTACATATGAAAATGTATCTGTTCAATTAAATGCCTTTCACAGCAGCTGAGTAGGGCTGGGCAAAAAAATTGATTTTTCGATGAATTGTTTTTTAAAATGTGGTCGATTCAAAATCAATTCTCAATGGCCACGAATCGATTTTTTTCCATTCAGGGCTCACGGTGCTGTGCTTCTCTCTCTCCGCACAAGGCAAGCATCAAGCGCTGCAGGCGTCAAAACACACTCGCGTTTAGGAGTCGGGACATGATGGGATATTCACTTGCACAATCGGGCCTGCATTGCATCGTAACGAACGTTTATCATTTTTACATCTTTTTAAGTTTTACCAGTTTAAACATTCAATCAATGTTAAACTATCACGTGTTCGCGCACTCTCAGAGATGTTTTTCACTGCGTGCACATACAGTAAAGCCTAAATGCGCCTCACAAACAGCTCGTGAGTAACTTAAGTTCTTTTTCGTGGATTATATCGCTTTAACAGTTAAAAACACGCAAAATGATGTCACAACTCTGGTCTTGGTGAGTAATCTCGTAAAGACAGTCGGTTATGTCTTAAATAAGCATAAAACGCGTGTGACAGACAGTATAATGAAACACTAATGGATCCGTGCTCTGGTTCTTAAAGTGAACTCAGCCATTTGTGTCTGTCTTTAATTTTGTTGTCATAACAACATAATATACCATTAATTGTAAGCAATCAGAATTAATGGCCTCTGTATTTAATTCAGTCAGGACTAAAAGACTATCCTGGGTTATTTTACATTGGATTACTTTATTCAGTTTCTGTAGTATTTCTCCTAAAATACCCCCAAAACTTTTTTTCTTTTTATGTCTCTTTATTTGTGTCTTTATTCTATTGTATTTATTTATACTATTTTCAATTTAATAAAAAAAATAAATTTCAACAAAAAAAAAAATACCTCGTAAAAACATAATATTTAGTTGAGATCAATGTAATAAAAAATTGTCTAAATATTTATATATTTATTTATCTATCTTAAACATAAAATAATCTGATCCTGTTTGATCAAAGCATGCGACTGTTCCGACTTGTCCAATTTTCAGCATCAATTTTCCATCTTGTATCAAAATCCCGTCTATTCATTGAATGCATTTAGTGTATAACGGTAGTGTACCTAAAATAAAAAGAGCTTTATATACAGGCTTGTGGCTCTTAATTTCTTTGTATTAATTAACCACTAGTAAACTTATGTCCACCGTTCTTTTTTTTTTATAAATATAGGATTTTTATTTGCCTACATCTACAGTATATTCATTATAATTGAATCGAGAATCAAATCAGTAAACGAGAATCAAAATCGAACCGAATTGAGAGCTTGCGAATCGAAATTGAACATCTGAATTGATACCCAGCCCTACAGCTAAGTAATAATGACACCATCTCCACAACCATGTAACAACTAACCGACGCCACTCCCACACCATACACACGTCAAAGTAGCGGAGCAGCTTTTCTCTATTCACGCACATGACAAGACGCACACAGGCAAGTAACGCATGTACTTAATTTCCAGTAAAAAACTAAAATATAAAACATCTGTGAATCAGGGTAAGACAAAAACACATTTTGGAAGAAAGATTAATGATGTATTTATTATGTGAATTTTTTTAACAAAAAAACATTAGATAGTGTACCTTTAAATATGTTTTAAAATGTAATTTATTCCTGTGTTGCAAAGCTGAATTTACTGTCTTCAGCGTCACATGATCCTTCAGAAATCAGTCGAATATCATGATCTGCTGCTTAAGAACATTGTTTTATATCTTTATAAATGTCTTTACTGTCATTTATGATCAATTTAATGCATCCTTGCTGAGGAAAAAGCAGTAGTGTATTTAGTCTGTTTATTCATCATGTCTGTGTCCTGCTTTTAGGATTCCGATTCGCCACGGCACTCCACGGCCTCCAACAGCTCCAACCTGAGCAGCCCACCGAGCCCTTCACCCCCGCACAAGAGCAAGACTCAGTCTCTGGAGCGCGGCCAGCACCTGGGCTGGGAGACATGAGCTCAGTCCCTACACGTCATATTCCCAAACACGCCGCCGGGGCCAGGTGTGTGTTTGTGTGCATATGCATTACACATGTGATTGTTTTGACACGCACCTTACATCCCTTTCGTGGACCCATCACCACTGTTTCTGTTCCTCTGCTGGATGGGGAACAGTCCACTCAGAGTGTGTGTGTGGAGGGGGGCCAAAGAGACAAACACACAGCTTTAACGTGAATCGATCAGTGTTTGTAGTCAAGTGTGCCTCATCTGACGCAAGGGAAAAAATATGCATTCAAAAGTCTTAACGGACAGGGTGGGATGTTACTTTTAAACACTAACGCGGAAAACTGTTCCTGGCATTCCAATCAGTGTGATAAAACGAGCCCCGATAGATAGAGCGCCCCCTGCTGCGGCACTACTGTATAACTCCGCCTCTACCCTCCAGTGCCATGCCGACCTTCAGAGGTCAGAGTTCAATAATGTAAATAGAGTTTAAGTAGAGTATAATATATAATGAAATCATAACACTATTCTGTTGTTAAATAAGTGTGAATCGGCTTCGAGAGAGTCTTCTTTCCTTTTGATTTCCCGCGTCAATTCTTTTTATGTAAATCGAAGCATTATTTTGTCAAGTAATTCCACCAATTCCGCTGTCGAGGCGAAAAGATTCGCAAGGGAACACTACAAAAAAGTATTGGGCCTCATTCATGAAACACAACGAGAACAATATTTTTTCGTAAAGCCATTTTTATGTATATTTAATCCATGGAATATACCATTAACAAGCTTGCAGTGAAATCATTGGTGTAGATTCACAAGTGTGCAGTGAATTTGTGCATAAATTAATTCACGTGTAAACTGTTGCATATAACACAAGGCCACTGTGTGAATTGTTGCATTGAATGCAGGGTTCATCACTGAAATTATACAAAAAAAACTTCATTTAGAAGGTCGTCGTAAAATTGTTTGACGATATTTAACAAAGCTGATGTACGAATGTTTTCAAACTGCTTTTTTCATGAATGTTGTTGCATTGCGTGCAAGATCCAGCGTTAAGAGAACTCAAGATGCGTGTAAATCACTAAACGCAAACTCTCATAACACAATTGTGCTGAATGTAACCGATTCACTGCAGCCTTGTTCGTGTGTTACTCTTGCCTAGATCTGTGCTTCACGCTTCTGTTACAGAAGCAATAATGCTGTTTCCAAAGACTTTTTAGTATCTTGTTTTTATTTTCAGTGTTTTGAGGTTGTTGTTTTTTCACAACTTGCAAGAACCAAATTTTGCCTAAAGTGTACATGTGAATATTAACATGTAATGTAAGCTATACCAGAGCATTTAATGTTTGTGTGACATGGAAAAAGCATTCAAAGGGCTTCAACGGTTTGCAGCTCATAATGACACCGCAGGGACCAGCCGCAGATTAGGTCATTTGATATTGAAACCAATTCAGCAAGTGCGTACAGTAAAAGCTGCTGTGGTGATCTATCAAACATCCCTGAACCTCGAAATAGCTCAGATTAGAGAGTCAAGCCATTACGACTCCAACAGAACCTCATCAGTCCGCTTACATACACTAATGGGCGCGTGTGACGTGTTCACTTTTCGCTAGTGCTCACTTTTGCTAAGCGGATTTGATCAATTAAGAAAGGGATCGATTTCCGAAAGAAGAAGAAATTAAGAATGGGCTCATTTTACCACTCCCCCAGAGTTAAACAGTTGGATTTTACCATTTTCGAGTCCATTCAGTTGATTTTCTGATACTTAGAAGAATATCAGTAACCAGACAGTTTCTGGTCTCATTGACTTCCATAGTATATATTTTTTTCCTACTATGGAAGTCAATGAGACCAGAAACTGTCTGGCAACTGATATTCTTCTAAATATCAGAAAATCACCTGAATGGATTCGAAAACGGTAAAACTCGACTGTTTATCTCTGAGGGAGTTGTAAAATGAGCCTATTTCCAAAAAAAAAAGTGGAGTATTTCTTTAAAACGAATTTTGCAGATGATTGTACATCTTGGAAAAGCTCACTCGAATATAAAAATGCATATCATTCACTCGCCCGCATGTTGCTCTCAAGCTTTGATTGAACTTCTGGGAAAGTGATGTTTTGGCAGAATGTTTACGCAGTTTTTTTTTTTTTTCCATGCAATGCAAGAATACAGAATGATATATGTATGTGTGTATACATATTTACACTTGCATTGTCAGTGTCTGATTGCTGACATTACAAAACTGCACACATTGCAGTTCACAGTTTCTCAATATAATGCTAACAGAGTGAGCTTTTGTTTGCTGATAAAAACGAATGAACTTTCAGTATTGAAGCACACCCAAGTAGAGAAATAGTGAAAGTTTTTCCCTGGGTTACAATTATATGCAAGCACTGTTGAAACCTTCACTGTGGACCAGTCCTGCAAACTCGGCACATGTTGTATTTTTAATTGAAGCGCTCACTGTCGGTATCGCTCGGGACCTTAGTTATGCATTTGCTCTATTCCATGATCATGTTCATTTTTTAAACAGAAACTAATATTCATAATACAGGTTGTTGTTGTTGTTTTCCATAAAAAGGCTGTAACGGGTTAGAAACAATTTGCCAGGGTTATGGTATTAACATGAACAGGAAACCTGTTTGAAATGATCTCAGGTATGTCAGAACCAATGATTATATGTTTGCATGATGGAGGATTTAAGATTGTAGAAACGACGGCCGTTTGATATTTAGGACTGTTACTTGGCAATGAATAGAGCGGGAGGTGCCTTAGTTTTCTTGGATCGGTGTGAACCGGTCAATGTAGGTAGAATGGACTAGAACGAGAGCAGATTTTTGAGACACATTCACATGCATTTCACGTGAGGATTTCGTTTGCCTTGTTAGTGGATTGCTACTTCATATCATATAGTTTTCTTCTTGGTTTCGACTTTTTGTAAGACTATGTACAGATTTGCATGTCATAGGTGTAATCACTTGTTTTAAGGACTGTACGGCTGGATTGTTTCGTTTTATTTTTATTGTATTTTATTGACCCGTGTGGCGTGAATGGTTGGGATGTGAAAATGAATTACCCCATACTGCAACGTATACCTTTTTCCTATTTCTTTTCTTTTTTTTTTTTTTTTTGCACAAATGTATTTAAGGTGGAATACTGTTATTTGTATTGGTTTGGACACCACTTTTCACATGGAAAGCTCATTATCTGACTATTTCAATAAAATGGGGAACTACAAAACACACCAAGCGTTTTTTTTTTGTTTTTTAACAAAAGCTTTATTTGAAATCTTGATATGATGCTATGAGTGGATTTGCTGTCACACATTCAACAGATAGCTGCAGTTAAAGTGCTGTATCATCCCTCGTTAGTTACGCGGACAAGCGTGAAGATCAAGTGTAATCGGGAAACCGAAGGCAAAGCTACAGCAGACGCGGTAATAGCGATCAGAAAAACGGCTTTTACAAAGCTCGGGTCCTAAGTCACGTTTAGGCACTGAGTACCACTGTAATCTCATCCAACACGTAAACAAAAACACTCACTTTTAAAGCGTGTCGGAAATTCAAGAACGCATTTTTATGTAATGTTTAATGGCCTTAGTATAGCGCATGAGGAAATGGCCTGCTGAAATATTCATGAAGCAACATCAGAAAAAGCACCATTTACAAAGCACTTATACACACGCTCGCTGTTTTTAATCCATTTTAACTGTGTAACGTGACGAGTGAAGCAATATCGAGTGTGATGAGGTAGAGCGGCTGGGAAAAAGCACATCAGGTGTTGGTGAGGACTCTGGTATGCCGTTTCTCCATGCGATCCTTCTCAACCAAACTACCCACGAGAACCAAAACCACCGATACTCTCTCTCTTTGAATCTTCAAGCGTCGTTGATCCATTAACTCTTTAAACAGGGTTGAGCGATGGATGTAATGGCAAATATCCCCTCGGACAGCCGCGGCCGGTCCTGCTTCATCCTGACGCGGCGAAACGTGCAGTAAACTTCATCCAACAGAACTTCACAGTATCAAAGAAAACATATCTTGTTACTCAGGTGCGCCGCCGATGGGCCAAATCCTGCGGATGGTTTCAGATTTCCCTGCTGCTGCCAAAGCACATGTCTGTCCGTCAACAGCTTCCCAGGCTCCCACAGGACAGGGACTGTCCCACGCCAACAGATATATACGCCTCTCGTTTCAGTCGGAGGCTCAAATCTGAGGACAGGTCTCTGGGTTACGCACTTGCCCCGTCGTCCTCCACCGCCACGCGGTTCATACTGGATCCGTGCGTTATGCTAGTGGCCGGCGCGTCGCTCAGGTCCCGCGCGCTGCCGTGTCTGGGTTGGCTGTCGAGGCGATGAAGGCTTCCGTGATGGGACAGCTGCTCGTTGAGTCGTGGCATGCTCCCGTACGCCGGGCGTTCCTCCGTGCCTCTGTGGCTGGTGGGGGTGAACCTGTGTTCAGAAGGAAAATCGGCAGGTTAATTAAGTTCAGGCTTCTTTGAACACGTAGCTTCAACATGTCTGCACATGCACAACTATATTAAACCCTTAGAGGAAGCTCAACTGATACACTTGCACTGGATCAGAGGTTTCAAACCTGGGATCCAGGGGACCCAAAGGAAAGGTTCAGAAAAAAAGGTGAATAATAATAATTTTATATATATATATACATTATTTTTACTTGAGGAGTGAAATATATAAAATACAATTACATACATTTTAATTTTTTTTTTTTTTTTTTATAAAATATACTTTGGTATACATAATTTGATTTACAGCATAGATAGACTCTAAATATAGATTAGATTAGATTAAATATTAATTTCCAGATATTTATATATATATATTTTTCCACAGTAAATTTTCCTTCATACATGAAAATACATAATAGCTTTTATTTTTTAGGCAGGGGATCTTTTATCAAATCAAGTAAATTTTATTTGTATATCGATTTTCGCAATGCACAGTGTTTCTAAAGAGCTTCAATATCTTAACATCTTCATGGCTTACAGCTGGATTTAGCAGATTAGAGCATAGCCTAGATTCATCAATAGCTGCGTTTCCATTACCCTTCAATTTGCGCAAATTGAAATTGCGAAATGAAAATACGCTCAATGGAAACACGTCAATTTCGCAAAAACTCCCGTTTATCGTAAAAAAGTTTTTACGCTCGCATTAGGAGGTTTTTCAGGCAATTCGAAAAAGGATTTTTTCCGCAAAACTGCAATGGAAACGGATTTTGCGCATTTACAGTCACCTGACTTACAAGACGGAGTGTGTTTTAGGTCCGTGTCCGCAAATAATAATAATAATTATCATCATTAGCCTATTATAACATTTATTAGGCTACATAGAAGACACTTTTATCCAAAAAAAGGAACAAAGCAATTCGTCACATGTTTTTAGCTCGTTATTTTTTCAGACGCTTTTATAAGTATAAATAACTCACCTGTACAGCACTGCGGGAAAAATATCCAGGTTCTAATTTGGCCTTAGAAAACCAGTAAAATCTACATTTTTTCCCATATTAATTTGTGAATATTTTAAATGTTTTAAAGGGGGTAAAAAGTCATAAACAAATATCTGAAAATTCATTGAGATTAATCCATTAATAATCTCCTTCCATTAATAATAATAATGTCTAGTGCGGTGCATGGCTGTGAAATAGGTTATAAACCTACCAACGTCCATTGCCATGATTTTTGGAATGACTTATCGCGAGAGGAAAACAAAAGACGTTTAGTCACATAACATCGGTTAATGGAAGCACCGTCATTTCGCAATAGTTTTCTCGACATTTGGAAAATATTGCAAATGGTACAAGCAAACAAGCAGTTTTGCTATATGTATTAAGGGTGTCACGATTTTCTATTTTAAACTGAAATCGATCGAAATTAATTCACAATCTTGAATTAAAAAATTATATCGTCCATGCTGCCACACCCCCATGTCACGTCCGTTGGCTTGGCAAGCGGAAAAAAAACACCTGTGTTGAAGTGCTGCGAGTCTATGGTCAACCTCCTCTAACTTATAACTACAGTAGCGCACACGGCAGAGAGAGCGAGAGACCTTGAGTGTGTGCCTCATGAAGCGCATGTAAGACAGAGAGCATCCTGATTGGCCGATTGATCAAAATCAAGAATCGAATTGAACCGTGACCAAAAATGTAATCGAATCGAGGATTTGGAGAATCGTGACACCCCTAATATTTATGTGTCACTTTAAGGTGAGTGAACTGTATGAATACGAATAAAATTGGACATAGATATCCAACTTTATATAAAGATCAGGGTCATAGTATAGTTACATTTTGTGACAATATATACAATATATGTGCCATCTCTCTCTCTCTATATAAGCACAAGTGTATCATCGCGCTTGTCGGGATGCGGTAGAACTCGCCTGCCGTCTCTGTCATGGTAGCTGCTGATCTTGCTGTGGACGCTGCTGGCTTTGCTCCGAACGTCGTCCAGCATGGCCAGGTGTGTGGAGGAGGCGTGGGTGGACGTGCCCTGAGTGGAGGTCCCGCGGGACTTGCGGATTATGGGTGTGTTGGGGTCACGCAGCAGAGACTGAGCGAAGTCGGGCTCCTGCAGAACCTGCCGGCTCTCATTCACTGCGCCGCTGCTGGATACGGGGAGAAACAAATGGACTCGTTTTATGCTATTTTAATGGCAAAACCAGTTGAAATATAGGCAAATAAACAGATTTACATACAGAAAGATAAAATCTATATATAACACGGCTTTCAGTAAAAAGGAATTGTTGTTTGTTGATTTATTAACATTGAAAACACAGACAGCAGGAATATCAGGCTACTGTCACTTTAAGACCTGCATGATTCTAATATACTGATACACATGCGTTTTCGTTCTCAACTCTTTACATTCACTTACTGTGTTTACAAGGATACTTGCCAAGACCGGCATTTTTTTCTAATGTCTATTCAAGTGCAGGGAGACGGGACTCGATTCAGGACTGAGACGTGGATTTCAGGGCGCACGCTTCGGTAATGAGTAACGAATTGAGTTCCCTTTCGCATCTTGAATATTTCAATTGTCAAGGCTTAAACTTTCGTGAGGATGCAGTAGGGCTGCACGCTTAATCGAATTTTAATCACAATCGCGATTTTGGCTTACCATGATCAAATTCGCGTGATCGAGCGATATTTAAAATGCGTCGTTACGTTCACAGAAGTTTTGCTACATTTTATTTATTGTTTTCTTTATGTTTATTTATTCTTTAAAGAGATGCACTGAATTTTGGTGAATAAGAGGAACTATTTGATTTTGATGCACATAGTTGTACATTAGCAGGAATGTAGCACAATATGGATGTGAAAGCAGTTATAATTAGCCTACAGTAATTGACGACAAAATTAGTTTTAGTTAAAATCAACAATTAATCGTGATAATTAATTGTGATCTCAAAATTGATCAAAATAATTGTGATTTTGGCCCAAACGATGCAGCAACTGTCCCGAGTGTTGTTCACATTCACGTTCTCACACAACATTGCATTTTTAAAAATTTCACCAATACGATCGACACTGTTTCATATACTCGCCAACAAAGATTTTTACTAACATTTGGCGAGTTCCTTTTGGGCCCTTATAAAATCAAATATACCTATATAATTAGATTAAATAGCGTTTAATATAATATAATATAATAAAATTAAATAGCGTTCTGAGTTGTTAAATCTGAAAATGTAGAATGACTTAAACATTACAGTTATAAAAGCAAAAAAAAAGAAAAACTTATTTTTTCCAAATAATATTTCACACACACATATTGATATATTTTTACAATATTAATGTTTCTTTATTCATGAAAATATTTAGCTGTCTTTATATTTCAGAAATGGGGGTCTGCGGCATAAAACCCCCAGCTTTAGAGAGCTTTCTGAATAACACTATTGATTGCACTACAGTTGTTTGTTCTCTGTCCATCAACACCACCTCTTGCATACATACACCACTAGACCATGTATAGTTTTAAATGAATACCGAGTCGTTTCTCCTGCAAACTAAAGCCGAATGAGGAGGGTAACTCACTCTTTACGCCTACGCCGGTGGAAGAAGCCGGCCCACTCGAAACAGGTCTTCTTACTGCCCACCCAGAACACGGACGGGATGCCCACCACCAGCACCATCAGGTACTTCATCAGGAATAGGACGAGGTCAGGCCTGCTGGTTTTCTCCACCTACACACACACACACACAAAGAGAAAGAGATGATCACACATTTACTGCATCCTTCTTTACCACAACACTTTTACACTATTAGTTTCAGTCATTTACGGATATGCCATCTCATCTAACCACAATCTCTGCAGTGTGTGCATGGACACACTTCCTTCACACACACACACACACACACTCCTTCAGGCTGCACAGCTCGCTGCGCACGGACAATCCTGCTTTATCCTGCAACACACAACAGCCTGCTCTTCTCCTCCTCTTCCTCTGTCTAAGCGCCTGGATGCTGCATTCATGCATATGTCACAACACAGCGCACACAGCGCCAACGGCCGCCGCAAAGGAAGTGAATATGTAAAAACTCTGGAGGGTGTTTTCAGATGATAACATGCGATTGAAATTTTACGTCATTAAAGCACACGTTAACATACAAGGATGCATATTCATAGAAAAATACTAAATAATGTATGCCTTCAAGATACACTACCGGTCAAAAGTTTTAGATCGGTAAGATTTTTGATGTTTTTAAATGAAGTCTCTTCTGCTCACTAAGACTGCAATTATTTGATGGAAAAAAAATGACAAACAGTAATATTGTGACAATTTTATGACAATTTAAAACGACTGTTTTCTATTTTAATTAGGGCTGTGCAAAAATTAATTGCGATTAATCGCATCCAAAATAAAAGTCTGTGTTTACATAATATATTTGTGTGTGCTGTATATAATTATTTTGTATATATAAATACCTATGCATGCATGTATATATTTAAGAATTATTTGCGCTTAAATTCTGTATATATATATATATATATATATAAATCTATATTATATAAATATAAATATTCTTTATATGAATAACACATTTTCTTAAATATGCATGTGTGAAAGAATGAAAAGACTTCATTCTTTTCTTTACATGCATGTGTGTGTATTTATATATACAAAATAATTATATACAGCACACACAAATATATTATGTAAACACAGACTTTTATTTTGGATGCGATTAATCGCAATTAATTTTTGCACAGCCCTAATTTTAATATATTTTAAAATGTAATTTGAAAGCTGAATTTTCATTTCATCACATTAGCTGAATATCATTACTGTTGCTGATTACACATCACTTTTCAGTGTCACATGATCCTTCAGAAATCATTGTAATATGCTGATTTTATGCTCAAAAATATAAATTATTATTTTCAATGTTGAAAACAGTCGTGTACCATTTTTCCCCCAAAATTCTATGACGAATAGAAAGTTCAAAAGAACAGCATTTATTTAAAATATAATCTTTTCTAACATTATAAATGTCTTTACTGTAACTTTTGATCAATGTAACTCATCCTTGATGAATAAAAGTATTTTCTAATTTCTTTCCCCCAAAAATAAAAAATAAATGCTTTCTGACCCCAAACTTTTGAATGGTACTGATTAATGTTACAAAAGCTTTCCATTTCAGATCAATTCTGTTCTTTTGAACTTTCCATTCATCAAAGAATCCTGAAATAAAAATGTAAAAAACTGTTTTCAACATGGATAATACTCATAAATGGTTCTTGAGCATCATTATTTTAATAATTTCTGTAGGATCATGTGACACTGAAGACTGGAGTAATGATGCTGTAAATTCAGCTTTGATCACAGGAATAAATTACACTTCACAATATATTCACATAGAAAACCGCTGTTTTAAATTGTAATAATATTTCACAATATTACTGTTTTTTTGTATTTTTTATCAAATAATTGCAGCCTTGGTGAGCAGAAGAGACTCCTTTTAAAAACATAAAATATCTTACCTATCTAAAACTTTTGACCGGTAGTGTATATCTATAAGAAAGGAAGGATAAATCAGTCGGTCACGTTTATTAAAGGGATAGTTTAGTAAAAAATGAAAATTCTGTCATCATTTCCTTACAAGTTGTTCCAAACCTGTATGAATTTATTTCTTCTGAACACAAAAAATATATATTTTGAAGAATATGAATAACCAAACAGTTGGACCCCATTGACTTCCATAGTAGATTAAAAAAAAATACTATGGAGGTCCATCAACTGTCTGGTTACCGACATTCTTCTTTTTTTTGTGCGTGTTCAACTTGTTATTAGTAGTAATGAAATTATGACAATTTTCATTTTTAGGTGAACTGTTCCTTTAATCCCCTTAGTGACACTTTTGAATTAAACATTATAATTATAGTTCCACATTCATTATTTGAAGACTTCATTGACACAAACTAAGATGTCTTCACATCAACAGGTGAATGACACGCATCCTCAATCCTTCAAGTGCACATACGAATGAACCCTCCCTAATGAGTGAATAACACACGTGTCATCAGTTTCAGTGCACTCGACCTCACACACTGAGCTAGAGCCAATCACAGCCTAGCTCAGCCCCCGAGCTTTAGTGAGTCGGTATCTGTGGTCTGAGGTAATGACAGGCTTGAGCAGCTAATCACAGCGGGACGAGGAGGGGGTCAGTCCTTCACTACAGGACACAGCATCACACAGCGCTACAGCGGCCCACACCAAGAGGAGCAAGAAAGAAAGAAAGATTTTGTATCGGATCTGAAAAATAATCCTGCAATGCATATCAAGTGCACAAATTCAATCAAATGATTTTACTACCGATAAAAATGAGACTACGCTGTGAATTTTAAAATATTACAAATATAGCATATTAAAATATTTTAATAAAATAATCATATCCCCAAGTGGCATTTTCCATGCTTTTATTAACTACAACATTTTGTATAAAATGTTTTATCATCATACATATAATTAAAAATGTTTGAATATTGGGTCTTGTCCTGAATTTTTTTTTAGAAAAAGTACATTGATTATTGTTTTAACCTTTTTGATTTTTATATACATTGAAAATATATATAAACTAATTACATAATTTTAGACAGACACACATAAAAATATTTATTAATGCCTTTTGATTTTTTTTTAATATGATGTTTGTAAATAATCTTTTATATAGGGCTGTCAAACGATTAATCGCATCCAAAATAAAAGTTTGTGTTTACATAATATATGTGGGTGCCCTGTGTAGAATTATTTTATATATATGATATAAAATATTTATATAAATCTATATATATATTCATGTATATAGATTTATATAAATATTTTACATATAATAAATATATATAAATATTTTATATATAAATAATATTTTTGTCTTAAATATACATGCATATGTGTGTATTTATTTATATTTATATATATATATATATATAAAATAATTATACACAGTGCACCCACATATATTATGTAACACAAACTTTTATTTTGGATGTGATTAATCGCGATGAATCGTTTGACAGCCCTACTGTACTTCTATATAAAACAAATAATTAAAATAACTAAATTCCTTTATTTGTAATAAATACATATTTAAAATACAGTACTTTAAAATATTTTTCATTATAAATAAATAATTAATAAAAATTTTTTTAACTAAATTTAAAACAAGCCTTGATCTTTTCTTTTATGCTTAATCTTTTTTTTTTTTTTTTTACTTTTTTTTATTATATGTATTTTATAGATACACACACACACACAAACAAAATCATATTCTGGACTGTTCTTGTGCCAACTGGCTTCCATTAGTTGAGCCTCAAACTAAACGTCCTCGACGGTTAAATGTTTGAGATGAATGTAGGCATTCTTCTTACAAGCCAAAGCGAGAGAGCCAGTGATGGTGAACAACACAGAGATATATGCCGGAGGGGAGGGGAGAGAATTACTACACCACGTGATATGCTCGGATCCGTTTATTATTGTGTGGAGGGAGAGGCCGGGCGTCTACGGTTACACTGTAATAAAAATGCCTCATGCATCACTGCACTGGATCGTATCTCACCATCCATTCAACCCCCAACACAAAAGAACCATTACGATGGATATTTTCAACAAATGTGGGTCTTGCAGAAGGTTGCCATTATTACAATCATCTTTATTCAGTCAGTCAAATCAAACCAGTTGTAATATAAATCAGTCAAACACGTCTGACGTCTCTATCTTAAAGAAAGCAACTAGTGTAACACATGGAGGAGGATAATAGCGACGGTCAGGGGAGAAAATGTAATAGGAAAGGTGGGAGGTACATATTCTAAATCTGCACAAGTAGGACAGTTTTATAGGCTATACCTTCTTGCTAGAAACACTAAAAAGACACCATCTGAGGGCTTAAAGACTAAACTTTCCAGGAAAAAAATCATGATTTTGTTATAAAGTCACATCTCTGAATATAAAAAAGACTCTTATAGTAAAACAGAAGTGGTGTTTGAGGAAATGTGTGGTTTTAATGGCCCTTTAAGTTTGATTAAACCATCAAAATACACGTAAAATATTTTATTTTTATATGTTTTAAATACAGTATGAGGGAAGAGCAAAACGCTAAACTTGGTTATGGTATTTATCTAAAAAAATCATGTTTTATTTTTATACAAAAGATGCATAGAAAAACAAACAAATATAGGCATCATAACATTATAAAATGTACAGTATGCACAACATTAATTTTGAGATTTATTAGATTATATTTAATAGTGTTAAATTATGAATGTTTTTAGGATTAATTTAAGTGAGCATTAGATGATGTCAAAGGTAATATAAATGGAAAAATAAGGAAAATGAGTATGAACAATTAAATATCCATTATGTATTTCTCTGGGGTGAATAGGATTTTATTTAGAATTTAATACTTTTAAGTAATAATTGTGGTTCCGGAACGACGTCAGAACACGGGAGAGTAATTCACCACTGGTTCCCTCAAGATTTTCCTATGGGGTTTCCTTTTTTCTTTTTCTTTTTTCAATTAATGAGTAAAATAAAGCCTGTGGCAAACATAACTTGACGATATTTGGTAACACTTTATTTCGATAGTCCACTTTAGACATTCTCCTGTCTATAAGTATCTTTTCAACTACATACAACTAACTGTCATTAGAGTATTAGTAGACTGTCAGCTTAAAAGGATACTCCACTTTTTTTGGAAATAGGCTCATTTTATCACTCCCCCAGAGTTAACCTGTTGAGTTTTACCGTTTTCGAATCCATCCAGCCGATTTTCTGATATTTAGAAGAATATCAGTAACCAGACAGTTTCTGGTCCCATTGACTTTCATAGTAGGAAAAAAAATATACTATGGAAGTCAATGAGACCAGAAACTGTCTGGTTATTGATATTCTTCAAAATATCAGAAAATCGGCTGGATGGATTCGAAAACGGTAAAACTCAACAGGTTAACTCTGGGGGAGTGATAAAATGAGCCTATTTCCAAAAAAAGTGGAGTATCCTTTAATATCTGCTAACACTTTATTTTGTTGGTCCCCCAACAGACATTCAACTGACTACGAGTAACTTGGCGACTACAAGTAAACTTATTCTCCTAACCCAAAGCCTAACACCTAACCATAACCAAACAGTCTACTATAATATACTAATACTCTAATGAGAGTTAGTTGATGTAGTTGAAAAGTTGTTGAATGTTTTGTTCCACAATGTAAACTGCACACACTCACACCCCAAATTGTCTTATCTAGTTACTTATTAGAAACATACATATTCAAAAATAGCAGCTTCAAAAGTCACGTTTTTTGGTATGGGGGTGTGTGATCTACAAACCGTCAAAGTAAAAGAGACAGGTCGATCGATCGATATTTACCTGGAAAGGGCAGGGTATGTGGTACTCTCTGCAGCGCTCCTGCACCCATGTGATCTCCCAAACGGAGCGGTACGTCTGCTCGTACAGGTAACACCCCACCACGGTCAGCAGCGGCACCAGATACAGCACCGAGAACACGCCGATCCGGATCATAAACTTCACCAGCTTGTCCTGGTTCTCCTTCTCCAGGGGAATTTCCATCCGGACTCTGTTGAGCGCTACGATCCCGGCCAGCAGCAGCGAAACTCCCACCAGGACATCCAGACACAGCGGCGCCAGCACAAACCAGCGAAGAGTGTGAACGTCGTACAGGCCCACGAAACACACGCCGCTGATGTTATCGCCCTCGATTTTATTCAGAGCCAGCAGGGTTATGGTTAGCATGCCAGGTATTCCCCACGCGCTGGCGTGGAAGAGCAAGGCCTTCTTCTCGATGGCTTCACTGCCCCATTTGGGCACAGCGGCCAAGAACCAGGTGATGGTAAGAATGACCCACCACACACTGCCTGCCATGGTAAAGAAGTACAACACCATGAAAAAGCAATGTGCAGGCCTTGTTATGCGAGCCTTGAGTCACCGTGGATGTTTTAAACTGGGCAGGATTGGCCGTGTTACACGCCACGCGGTCCTCCAACAGGAAGCCTATGAAAAACACCAACGACACCATCATGTAGCAGACAGCGTAGAAGATGATGGGCCGCTCCGGGTAGCGGAAGCGTGTAACGTCGATGAGGAAGGTGAGGAAGGTGAAGAGCGTGGCGGAGAGGCAGACGATGGAGACAACGCCAATGAAGTAGCGGGCGAAGGTGAGCTCTTCGCGCCGGAAATACATGTTGGGGCAGGGAGGGGAGCAGTCACGCACACCTAGGAACGTGTAGCCGAGCTCGGGTTCCACTTTGAGCTCGCGGGGGCACCAGAAACCATAGTCACGCTGCACCGACATGGGCGACTGGTCAGTGGGCTCCTCGTTCACCAGCAGATCCACAGCGCGAGGGTAAGACTCGTCACAGTCCGGGAACCTGCAGTTAACACACAAAGATATATATTTATACACACAAACTACTGCTTTCTATGGAAGCTTGTGTCCGACACAGAATAAAAAAATTTAAAAGATAATTCCGACTTTTTTACTCACAATTGCGAGTTTATATCTCGCAATTCTGGCATATTTACTTAGAATTGTGAGATATAAACACACAATTTTGACTTTACACTCACCTAAAGGATTATTAGGAACACCTGTTCAATTTCTCATTTATGCAATTATCTAATCAAGTGTGGCATGGTTGTTGGTGCCGGTCTGAGTATTTCACAATCTGCTCAGTTACTGGGATTTTCACGCACAACCATTTCTAGGGTTTACAAAGAATGGTGTGAAAAGGGAAAAACATCCAGTATGCGGCAGTCCTGTGGGCCAAAATGCCTTGTTGATGCTAGAGGTCAGAGGAGAATGGGCCGACTGATTCAAGCTGATAGAAGAGTAACTTTGACTGAAATGACCACTCGTTACAACCGAGGTATGCAGCAAAGCATTTGTGAAGCCTCAACACGCACAACCTTGAGGCGGATGGGCTACAACAGCAGAAGACCCCACCGGGTACCACTCATCTGCACTACAAATAGGAAAAAGAGGCTACAATTTGCAAGAGCTCACCAAAATTGGACAGTTGAAGACTGGAAAAATGTTGCCTGGTCTGATGAGTCTCGATTTCTGTTGAGACATTCAGATGGTAGAGTCAGAATTTGGCGTAAACAGAATGAGAACATGGATCCATCATGCATTGTTACCACTGTGCAGGCTGGTGGTGGTGGTGTAATGGTGTCGGGATGTTTTCTTGGCACACTTTAGAGCCCTTAGTGCCAATTGGGCATCGTTTAAATGCCACGGCCTACCTGAGCATTGTTTCTGACCATGTCCATCCCTTTATGGCCACCATGTCCCCATCCAATGATGGCTACTTCCAGCAGGATAATACACCATGTCACAATGAGTTCACTGTACTAAAAATGGCCCCCACAGTCACCAGATCTCAACCCAATAGAGCATCTTTGGGATGTGGTGGAACGGGAGCTTCTGGATGTGCATCCCACAAAGCACCTTGTTGAATCAATGCCACGTAGAATTAAGGCAGTTCTGAAGGCGTAATGGGGTCAAACACAGTATTAGGATGATGTTCCTAATGATCCTTTAGTTGAGTGTATATCATGCAATTCTGACCTTATATCTCCCGATGCATAAAGTCAGAATTACGAGATATAAACATGCAATTCTGAGATGCAAACTCACAATTGTGAGAAAAAAAGAGACAGAATTGTGAGAGAAAAAGTCGCAATTACCTTTTTTATTTTTTATTCTGTGGCAGAAACAAGCTTCCATAGCTTTCAAAATGTTTCCTTATTACCACTGTTTGATTGATTTTTTGACTACTGCTAACATTAAATTGAAATATGTTGCTGACTTATTTCAAGCTGGTTTGAATAGTGAGCATATTTTCCCTTATCAGAATGGTTGCTTTTCATTGGAGATAAAAAGGTTTCCCTGGAACATCTGTGTTTGGTTAAACCACCATTTTAGTCAGAAAACATTTTTCCATTTAAAAAAAAAAAAAGATGTGTAAGAAGAAACATGTTCAACCATTACAGCACAATTTACCTCAGAAATGCTGGGCAATTATGTGGCAATTACATCTGAAACAGGGAAATGTACACTTCGTTCCTTTTCTCAAAAATTATCTACAATTTCTATTAAAAAACTCGAGCTGTTGAATCGGTACCTGCTGCAGTCCATCTCTTCCGGCCAGGTGACTCCAAACATATCCATGAGCTTCTGGCAGTCTCTCTTGGCATGGTCACACAGGCTCCGGCAGGGCAAAGATACCCGTCCGTACTCCATACACACGGGGGCATACAGGGCGCACAGGAACGGCCGGAGGTCTGGAGAGCACTGCAGGTTCACCATGGGGTGGAAGGGCTGGTGGGGAGGGAGAACAGAGAGTTAGTAATGCCAAGAGCCCTGAGAGTTTATGACAGATCTCGTAAAAACACACAGCTTGTCTCTGGAAGCAGTTTGGCAGGAATATTAACCCCACTGGACCTTTGGCAAGTGTTATGATTACAAATAAGGATTTAAGTAGAAGTGCAATAGTGCAAGAAAACTCCTCAGGCAGAAGTCAACATAAAATCAAAACTGATGCCTTCAAAATTCACTTTAAAAGTGTGAGTGATTCATTGACCAAAAAAGATTTTTGTCTGTGGAATCAAAATACAACTTGCTCTGCTTTTGAAACAACTTTCCTTTATAGATGATGTCATCAAGACCTCTTATTTTCAACATATTTTCACCATCAAATCAATTTCTGATGGATAAAGTGAAGACCAAGCCCACGTTTTTTTTCCAATAAATAGCTCGTTCTACTCTGAAATGTGTTATGGAAGTTAAAGGGGTTGTGAACATTTCATGCGACCAAAAAAAAATAAACTTCAGATTCATTAAGGAAACACAGGGTCCTGTTCACAATAGCCTACATTCTTAAAAATTAACCATCATATGTATAAAGTTAACAATATTTCCAAAACAATATTTTTTGTAATCCTTTTTCTTAAGATTATTCTAAACACAAAACTTGCTAAGTATTTGAATTCTTAAAAAGAGTTTTCTTAAAAATCATCGTAAATCAGCCTCTTCAAGTTAGGACCTCTACCTTGCCTTAAATCCCCATAGAAAATATGTTTAATGAATTGAATTGGTTGTTTCTAATATTAAGCATTACAACATAGCACATATAAAACTAATTATTAGGAATGTGCACATTTACTTTAAAATATGGACATTGCAATATTTCATTTTTCTGCTACATATATTGCGATATGAATATAATTTCACCAGCTTTATTTGTAAAGAGTTAATCATTCTAGAAAGATTGGGGTGATTTTGTAGGGGAGTGAATATGCATAGAAAATAAGAAGCAAATTAAAAGCATAGATGAATACAGAAGAACAAAAAAAACAAATGAAATAAACAACAGTGCTTTACTGTTAGACTTAGGCTACCTGAAAAAACATAGTCAAGTACAGAAATTGAATAGTCAAATGTAAAATAGCACTGCATTGTCTTCAATGTATGAATTATTAATCTTTGTGAAAGCTACAAAAATCTTCTGTTGTTTGATTAACATTAAAGGGTTAGTTCACCCAAAAATGAAAATTAAGTCATTAATTACTCACCCCCCATGCTGTACCAACCCCGTAAGACCTTCGTTCGTCTTCGGAACACAAATGAAGATATTTTTGATTAAATTTGAGAGCTGTATAACTACCACATTGGCTCCTAAGGGACTGCCTCTTGACGGCCCAGAAAGTCAATGAAGAAAATGTTTAAATATCCCAAGTGACTACCGTGGCTCAACTATATGTTTATCAAGCGACGCGAATACTTTTTGTGCGAAAAAACAAACAAAAATAACGAGTTTATTCGACGCATGCGCGAGAATTGCGATCTGAAGTAGTACAGAGCGGCTCTGAAGTAGTGTAAGCAGATCGCAAATCTCGCGCATGCGTCGTGGAAATCTAAGGAAGTCTCGTTTCTGGCCTACAAGGAAGAAAAGAAATAGTCGAATAAACTCGTTATTTTTGTTTGTTTTTTCGCACAAAAAGTATTCGCGTCGCTTGATAAACATATAGTTGAGCCACGGTAGTCACTTGGGATATTTAAACATTTTCTTCATTGACTTTCTGGGCCGTCAAGAGGCAGTCCCTTAGGAGCCAATGTGGTAGTTATACAGCTCTCAAATTTAATCAAAAATATCTTCATTTGTGTTCCGAAGACGAACGAAGGTCTTACGGGGTTGGTACAGCATGGGGGTGAGTAATTAATGACTTAATTTTCATTTTTGGGTGAACTAACCCTTTAAGCCTAATAGCAGATTTATTAGGTTTCTGTCACTTTAAGAGCAAATGCACAGATCCAATATAATGATGCATTTTCTTTCTCAATTTTTTTACGTTCACGAAAGCCATGAGATTGTTTATGAAAATATTCACCAAGATGGGCATTTTGACAATTCTGAGTGTATGTGCATGTTCATGTTCAAACTTATTTTATCTTCTTGCACTCAATTTTTTTAAATCGCTTGAATGTTTAAAATGACAGGACCTAAAACTCCAAGATAAACTTTCACTCAATGCAACTGCCTTCAATCAATCCGAGAACCACATGCGTTTTAAACCGTGGTGGCAGGTCCGTGCGGTTCACAGATCATCCTTTACTTGACATACTGTAGCAGATCCTGTGATTTGACTATCGCAAGTGAATGCAACAGACTGCTCCCTCCCATCAAGCCAGTTGCAACAATAAGAGCATGAGCTTATTGTTAGAGAAAGTATGAAAACTTTCTCTAAAGAATTGCACCAAAGAATATTCTTACAAACTTCTTAGAATGAATCTTTCTTAAGAAGATTTTCGTGAATCCGACCCCTGCCTCCCAAACCAAGGTGCAAAAAGACGGGCAGAAAGTTGTCTGGGTACAGTAACCTAAAGCCCCTTCAGGAGGATTACAGGCCAGTTTGGCAGCTCCAAGGATGCTTTTGTGCCCTGAAGGGGCCCAGTGCATGCTGGGAGAGAGAGCAGCTGCATAGCTGGGCATTTAAATTTAAATCTTCGAAGGAACAGACAATGAGCCTCCACCTGGGGTTAGCCAATACACATGCACTTCCTGCTGGGGACCGGCCCTTTGTGACCGCCGCGCTTTTTTGGAAGGAACTGGGAGATTGACACAGCGCAGAATTTGGTGTTCATTCCTGCATGGATTGCTCGAGTGAACTTAATCCCCAAGTAGGACAATATTTACAGATAATTTGCATGAATTACGGTTTTCCCACCAAGAAAAAGACCAGCTTAGTACTGGGAACATCAGCGAGGAGCTCTAGCTTGCCTTGAAAAAGTTCAAAAACTGCCTTTCAAAATTCACATGAAGCAAATGAGCCGTGAATAAAAGCTTTATCAATATTTGAAGATGGTTATGAAATATTTACCCTGCCTCTGGAGCGAGCGAATTAAAGCAACATCAAAAGAAACATGAGCAGCTTCTATTGGCCTCCCGTATGGAAACCACATTCGCTTCAGTAATTGAGCTGTACGAACAGAATTTGCATCGTTCTTGACATGTTTCCCTCCCTGTAGACGCTGAACTGGACATTTTATTGATTTTGAGTGCCCTCCCCATAACTCCCTGGTTTACTGTTACACACAGACACGTGCAGGAGGAGACAACTGGGTCGTCTTATGGGAGTCGGGTTCAGGTACAACAGAGGAACTGAATTACACCAGTCTTTATTATTTATGTGGATCAGACACGATAGTGCAGCCGTACGCGACAGGACGCCTTACAGCGGCACATGTACTACAAGCTGAAGAAAACACACAACATTCACTACACAAACAGCGCAATAATACACAATTTATGAACTTTAATGTTGTTGCAAAGCCGTATGATTTTCTTTCAACTGAAGTAGTCCAAACAACTCGCTCTAAATTCCACATCTGAAATCATCCGATAGATTTGTGTGAGAAACAGACAGAAATTTAAGTTGATATTCACTTAAATTCTCTATCAGCAGTCTCAAGCTCGTATTATAAAACTTGGGATTTTCACAATGTCTAACCACGGGTTAATTTTAACCCCGGGTAAAGGAACGTTTCACCCTTGTAATTGAGAAGTGGGGTTAGCACGTCTTTTTACCCGGGGTAATGAAACCAGAGCCCGTCTAACGGAGAGCCTTGGCACTTCCTATTAGCTGCAGTTCCATTAGAATTCCACCGGAGGTGATCGCGGGCGAGTGCAGAATGAATGGGAGTCTATGGGGCTAAACGTGTCTCTTTCTCCTGCTTGTCGTTAAATCAACATAGATTTTATTGTTGATTCCGCAAGTTCAATATAGATTATAGGCCAAAAGTCGAATGAACGAGTACTTATGTCCTTTCGATTTCTTACAGGTTAGGCCGTTGTTGGCCGGAACACGCTAGCATTCTGCTATTGTGTGACGTCATCACAGTTTTGAACGGATTTTTAGAACAGATAAGTGAACTTAAAAATGCAATTTTCAGCTGAGTGTATTATCTTAACCCTCCCGTTTTGAATGCAACTTTCAAATTACTTGACAAAAAAATTACATCCTGAGAAAAGTGGATTTCTGGGGGTTAAACCCCATTGACTCCCATTCATTCTGCACTCGACCGTGAGCGCCCCCGCATGGACAGAGACGAGTTACTACAGCCAGTCCAGAAAACGGAAGTAACCAGCCAGTGCCAATTCTCTTCAATTAGACATTCTCTGATGAAACCCTGCTCTAGAACAATGCTTTAGCAGCGTTAACCCTGTTTTGCGCTGCCAAACCTGCGCAGTGTGAAATGATGCGATTTTAGAATGTTAAAACTATCCCTAGCAACCGACAACCAATCGTGTGCCTCATATTTACATAATTTGATCAGTCACAGAAACAGTGCATCGTATAAACTCAATTCAGTGTTTGTAATAAGGAAGTTCAGTTCAATGCAGTTCAAAAATGGGAAAAAGCATGACCTGGGTTTTTTGACCGAGGTTTGCATGCCTGTAACTAAAGAAGAAGTAAAGATCTCAAATTATCCTTTTATATTCTGGTTCTTAAACTTTTCTGTGAGATCGTCATGTTAAGGCTCAATATGGTGCATTTCCAGAGATATTGGGATTTCAATGTGCGTAAATTGTTATGACACTCAGTGGTCAAAAACCAATTGTGGGTTGTAAAAAATATGGACAAAGTGTCTGTTCTGAAGAACAGTTTTGAGGCTGTTTATGGGGGGTATGGGCTGCGCCATATTGGAAAATCTTAAGAAATACAAAATACAAAATGTTCAGAAAGGAAGTTTTTCGCACTTCCGGGTAGGCTTCATTTTTCAGATTAGAATGTTGCCGCTTGGTTTTTACACATCAGCTG